CAATAACTACAGCTATACATATCAGTCTCTAACACTAACAGACTAAAAACAATTTGCCGGTAATTTGTTTCAACAAGTCACAACATCGGACAAACGTAGGCCATAGATGTTTCAAATATGTCCCGGTGACGCTTAAACTGGCCAAAGTACGATGTACTAAAGTTAGTCTTGGTGCGAGGCTATGCCACAACTTCAACTGTCCAATATGCGAGCCTAGGTCACTAAAACTGTCCAAAATGTGAGCCTAGGTCACTAAAACTGTCCAAAATGTGAGCCTAGGTCACTAAAACTGTCCAAACTGTGAGCCTAGGTCACTAAAACTGTCCAAAATGCGAGCCTAGGTCACTAAAACTGTCCAAAATGTGAGCCTAGGTCACTAAAACTGTCCAAAATGTGAGCCTAGGTCACTAAAACTGTCCAAAATGTGAGCCTAGGTCACCAAAACTGTCCAAAATGCGAGCCTAGGTCACTAAAACTGTCCAAAATGCGAGCCTAGGTCACTAAAACTGTCCAAAATGTGAGCCTAGGTCACTAAAACTGTCCAAAATGTGAGCCTAGGTCACTAAAACTGTCCAAAATGTGAGCCTAGGTCACTAAAACTGTCCAAAATGTGAGCCTAGGTCACTAAAACTGTCCAAAATGTGAGCCTAGGTCACTAAAACTGTCCAAAATGCGAGCCTAGGTCACTAAAACTGTCCAAAATGTGAGCCTAGGTCACTAAAACTGTCCAAAATGTGAGCCTAGGTCACTAAAACTGTCCAAAATGTGAGCCTAGGTCACCAAAACTGTCCAAAATGCGAGCCTAGGTCACTAAAACTGTCCAAAATGCGAGCCTAGGTCACTAAAACTGTCCAAAATGTGAGCCTAGGTCACTAAAACTGTCCAAAATGTGAGCCTAGGTCACTAAAACTGTCCAAAATGTGAGCCTAGGTCACCAAAACTGTCCAAAATACGAGCCTAGGCCACTAAAACTGCCCAAAATGCGAGCCTAGGTCACTAAAACCAAAATGTGAGCCTAGGTCACTAAAACTGGCCAAGACCCAGGCCACACCGCCTAGATCACCTGCTGGTTCAAGTTTTCTCTAGCCACGATTAGAGCGAGGAGCGAACCAGTTGTCGGCCCTGCCCGTCTAGTGTTACCAGAGGGGAGAAAACTCGGAATTTCCCACGGCACTTCACCATATGACCTTGACAATATCCTCTGTTTAGATGCGGCCATTTTATCGTTTTCATCTCGACGTCATTCGGGGATTGGTGATCTGAGCTGAAAGAAATCTCAAGCCCAATCAAAAGTTAACTAATTAGGCTAAATAGTGTTTCAAGACCAACAAAAACTGCCTTCTTCAAAACTTTCATCCTCAGTAAATCTTTAGTTATGAAAAGACGCGTCCGGTGTAAATCTTTCAATTGAATAGCGTCGTGCGGTGTAAATCTATGGCAGTGAAATGCATCATCCGGTGTAAATATATAACAATGAGAAGTGTCATTCAATGTACATTTCTGGCTATGAAATACGTCATTCGGTGTAAATCTATAGCTATGAACAGCGTCGTCCTATGTAAATCTATGACCAAGAGAATACAATCCAGTGTAAATCTACGACTTGAGCGACCCAGTGAAAACCTAGTCAAAACATCTCAAGCCAATCTCATAGCACCGAATTATTTTGAAGGAGTTTAATTACACGGTGCGAGAAATTTGTTTGCAACTCAGAAAGCTGTAAACTGTTATCTGAAGTTGGCGGTAATCTCGTGTACGGGGGTGGGAGGGGGTGGGAGGGCAGCGACTTGGGCAGCCTTCTATGAGGTGTACGACTCACACGCAGAACAAGCTCACCCCACGACATGGGGTGGGGGTGGGGGTAATATACGGTGGCCGGGTCTGGATAAATCATGGGCTGAGGGGGTCACGTGACAAGAGACGGTTCTAGACACGAGTGTTCTGGTACCGTGTGGTTCAGTATCAGAGACTTGGTCGTTGGTACATCAGTGGTACCACATTTGTGGTTCAGTATCAGAGAATTGGTCGTTGGTACATCAGTGGTACCACATTTGTGGTTCAGTTCTCAAAGACTTGGTCGTTGGTACATCAGTGGTACCACATTTGTGGTTTAGTTCTCAAAGAGTTGGTCGTTGGTACATCAGCTGTACCACATTTGTGGTTCAGTATCATAGATTTCGTCCTTGGTACATCAGTTGTAACAAATATGTTGTTCAATATCAGAGACTTAGTTGTAGGTACATGATAATACTCGTAGCTAATTATAACATACACTTTTAACTAACCGTACAATAATACTCCTAGCTAATTATAACATACACTTTTAGCTAACTGTACCATAATACTCCTAGTTAATTATAACATATATACTTTTAGCTAATTGGACCATATATACTTTTACCTAATTGTAACATATATACTTCTAGCTAATTGTACCAAATAGAATTCGAACTAATTCTGACATATAGACTTCTGCTAATTGCACCATAAAAACGTACCTAGAGATTTCTATGTCACGTAGGAATTATGTAGACACAATAACACAAAATTAGGACATTTCTACCTCCCCCTCCCCATTCTCCTAATAAATGTTGACGCTCACACAAAGGCATGTTGACGTAGTTCTAGATACCCGTATGTTGACGTAGTTCTAGATACCCGTATGTTGACGTAGTTCTAGATACCCGTATGTTGACGTAGGTCTAGATACCCGTATGTTGACGTAGTTCTAGATACCCGTATGTTGACGTAGGTCTAGATACCCGTATGTTGACGTAGTTCTAGATACCCGTATGTTGACGCTCGTAGTTCTAGATACCCGTATGTTGACGTAGGTCTAGATACCCGTATGTTGACGTAGTTCTAGATACCCGTATGTTGACGTAGCTCTAGATACCCGTATGTTGACGTAGTTCTACATACCCGTATGTTGACGTAGTTCTAGATACCGTATGTTGACGTAGTTCTAGATACCCGTATGTTGACGTAGTTCTAGATACCCGTATGTTGACGTAGTTCTACATACCCGTATGTTGACGTAGTTCTAGATACCCGTATGTTGACGTTCGTAGTAATTATGTAATTGTATTCAGAAACGCATCCAGTATAAATCTAAAAAAAAAATTACCCGCCAAGCTCTCTCTGTCCGATTTATTCTTAATATCCGAACGTGTACTGTGTTCTACTAGATATTCATGTCTTGTATGGTATCTACCTTCCATTTATACGTTGTGATGTATGCGACGTGTTTGTATTCAGTTGCTGGGGGGTGGGGATGTTTGGGGTGGGGATATGAGTAGGTAATGAAAGAAATGTAATCCTGGTTAATGGAAAACCGCATCACCTGAACCTCGGCATTCTTGATGGGATGGGGAGATGCCAGGACGCCAGGGGGACGCCCGGGGGCGGGGGGGGGGGGGGGGAGAGACAAGTATTTGCTCATAAGAAAATAGATCAACAGAGTAATCCATCACGTCTGTCTGAGTCTCCGGCTCATCTAGACAAGGTTTTTCTAGACAACTTTGGTCTCAGTTTAGTAAAGGTTGGTCTCTGTTTAGTCAAGGTTGGTCTCAGTTTAGTCACGGTTGGTCTCAGTTTAGTCTAGGTTGGTCTCAGTTTAGTCAAGGTTGGTCTCAGTTTAGTCAAGGTTGGTCTTAGTTTAGTCAAGGTTGGTCTCAGTTTAGTCAAGGTTGGTCTCAGTTTAGGCAAGGTTGGTCTCGGCTTAGTCAAGGTTGGTCTCGGCTTAGTCAAGGTTGGTCTCAGTTTAGTGAAGGTTGGTCTCGGCTTAGTCAAGGTTGGTCTTAGTTTAGACAAGGTTGGTCTCAGTTTAGTCTAGGTTGGTCTCAGTTTAGTCAAGGTTGGTCTCAGTTTAGTCAAGGTTGGTCTCGGCTTAGTCAAGGCTGGTCTCTGTTTAGTCAAGGTTGGTCTCAGTTTAGTCTAGGTTGGTCTCAGTTTAGTCAAGGTTGGTCTCAGTTTAGTCAAGGTTGGTCTCAGTTTAGTCAAGGTTGGTCTCAGTCAAGGTTGGTCTCAGTTTAGTCAAGGTTGGTCTCAGTTTAGTCTAGGTTGGTCTCAGTTTAGTCAAGGTTGATCTCAGTTTAGTCTAGGTTGGTCTCAGTTTAGTCAAGGTTGGTCTCAGTCAAGGTTGGTCTCAGTTTAGTCAAGGTTGGTCTCAGTTTAGTCTAGGTTGGTCTCAGTTTAGTCAAGGTTGATCTCAGTTTAGTCTAGGTTGGTCTCAGTTTAGTCAAGGTTGGTCTCAGTTTAGTCTAGGTTGGTCTCAGTTTAGTCAAGGTTGATCTCAGTTTAGTCAAGGTTGGTCTCGAGAAGTATGTCTTAAGCTAGTCTAAAGTTCCCATTTCGCAACAAGTTTAATTTTTCCCTGGAACGGGTTTATTTTTTTTCCAAATTTTGTTCCATGATTTCATCGTTTATTTCATGATTTGATCGTTTATTTCATGATTTCATCGTTTATTTCATGATTTGATCGTTTATTCCATGATTTCATCGTTTATTCCATGATTTCACCGTTTATTCCATGATTTCATCGTTTATTTTCATGATTTCATCGTTACTTACCACAACATCAAAAGTACTTTAATACTCATTATTTCCCTCTTTCTTTCTTTTTTTTTCCATTTTGTTTTCATGTTTTCATTCCCTTATATTTTCATCTTTATACTTCCTTTATTTTCATGTTTCTATTGTCTAACTTTGTAGTTTCTTTTGTTTTAATCTTTTATTCTATTTCGTTTTAAAATTTTAATTGTTTTGTTTTAATATTTTTAATTGTTTTGTTTTAATCCTTTTTGTTTTATTTTGTTTTAATATTTTGATTGCTTTGTTTTAATATTTTGATTTGTTTTGTTTTAATATTTTGATTGTTTTAATATTTTGATTGTTTTGTTTCAATATTTTGATTGTTTTGTTTTAATATTTTGATTGTTTTGTTTTAATATTTTGATTGTTTTATTTTAATGTTTTGATTTCTTGTTTGTGTTTCCCAGAAAACCGCTGAGCCAAGAGCATAGACTGGTGTTACAGACAAAGTTGGGTACCGTGTTGTTAGCTGTCATACTGTCACTTTACCACATGAAATATGACGAATATGTGGACGGTGGAGGTGGAGGAACTGCTGCATCCACCAAACTGTGTGGATAACTCCACTGGATACATCAGCTACACATCCTTGGCGTCTCGTTATCCAAACATTTGGCAGAGTTTTAATTAGGAGTCACAAATATGCTATGATGTTAGACTGAAGCTAAACTAGCAGTCACAAATATGCTATGATGTTAAACAAAAGCTAAACTAGGAGTCACAAAAGTTCTGTAATGTTATACAGAAGCTAAATCGGGATTACGTTTGTTTATTAAAAAAGATATTAGTTGAAAAAAAAACGTTCAAAGTATCTATTTTATCAATATTTGTTGCTGCTAATTGTGTCAATTTGTCTAGATTGATTTGTTAGCTTTCCGATGTATTATTTCTACTCATGGTTTTTTTTTTTTAAAGGAATTTCAACAAAATGTGATTAATAATATTTTTATAAATAAATAATCAGATTTTAAAAATAACATTAAACAATGAATCATTTCATATCATTCATTATTTATCTACTCCCCCACCCCAAAAAAAATCTCCCTATCATACTTACTTGGCACCGCCTAACGGAAAAGAAGTTGTGTGTGTGTGCCTTGACCTTATGAGATGGTTTTCTTATTGGTGACCTTGACTTCCCGACCTCCAATGACCTACACAAAAAGTGACACCAAAACTTAGAGCAGAAAACATTTATCAGAACAATCCTCTTGTTTTAATTAACTAATTGCGACGTTTTAATTACGATAAGAAAAACAAAAGACGCTTGTTTGGTTATCTGTGCTGGTAACTCGGTGATAAGGATTTCATTAGTTGACACTATCAACATTATTATCTAAATGTTGATAAACAATTAGCAAGATTCTAGACTCGGTGTTGATAAATGTCATGATTGTTGCTCCACTGTTTGTAACTAACTTAGTGTGTTATCGATATGAGTGTTATCAACATGAGTGTGTTATTATCATGAGTATGTTGTTATCAACATGAGCGTGTTGTTGTCATCATGAGTGTTATCAACGTGAGTGTGTCGTTATCAATATGAGTGTTATCAACATGAGTATGTTATCAACATGAGTGTGTAATCAACATGAGTATATTATCAACATGAGTGTTATCAACATGAGTGTGTTATCAACATGAGTGTTATCAACATGAGCATGTTATCAACATGAGTGTTATCAACATGAGTGTGTTATCAACATGAGTGTTATCAACATGAGCATGTTATCAACATGAGTGTGTAATCAACATGAGTATATTATCAACATGAGTGTTATCAACATGAGTGTTATCAACATGAGTGTGTTGTTATCAACATGAGTGTTATCAACATGAGCATGTTATCAACATGAGTGTGTAATCAACATGAGTATATTATCAACATGAGTGTTATCAACATGAGTGTTATCAACATGAGTGTATTGTTATCAACATGAGTGTTATCAACATGAGCATGTTATCAACATTAGTGTGTAATCAACATGAGTATATTATCAACATGAGCATGTTATCAACATGAGTGTTCTCAACATGAGTATGTTATCAACATGAGTATGTTATCAACATTAGTGTGTTACCAACATGAGTGTTATTTTATTAGCTCGAGAGTATGTTATCAACATATTGTTGTGTGCATGAAAGATCTTTTTTTTTTATCAACTTTTACAAACTATGCAAACCTATTTTACAAAGCTGGATATGCACATTTTATATTATTTTATGATAACTAGTGATTTGACCTAAGCACTGTATGAGATGAAAATTGTACTTAGTTCCGTGTTTATGTTGACTCACTACACAATGTGAGCGTCCAATAGTGCCTCAACACACATTTGTTTATCCCAGTAAGTGCCCGTATGTCGAGTATTTACTAGCAATGTCAACCATTTGTGGTTGTGAAGAATGTTAACTCGTCTATTTGTTGACATTTTTCATGACACGTGATGTATTAAAAATAACTTGATGTATTACTACACTACCTAAATTAACCTGAAGTTAATTTTTTTAAATAAATACAAACTAAACAGACATTATTTTAAGTGTTGTTGTTTTGTTTTTTTTTTTTGTATTTTTTTTGTACTTAATTTAGATGCCAAAAAAATAATAAAAATTGCTGTTAGAAAGATAATCGTCAAAAGATTTAGTACCCATGAGAAAAACGAAAAGTAACATAAAATGATGCGCAAGAATACAGAAAGAAGTGCAAACAGAAAAAGGAGCAGACTTTAAAGAATCACAAAAAGGCACGGAAATATTTGCTGGAGGTCACAGAGAAAAAAAACAAACTAAATAAACATGTGTAAAATAAGCAAAAAGGACGGATTGGTCTGTAGTTAGCTGTACAGCTAACTCGTAAGTCTCGAGATCGAATCCGGGATCAAGTCAGTAGACCACCCCTGAGTCCACCCAACTCTGATGGGTACCTAACTAGGTTAAGGAATGTAAAAGCGGCTGGGTATAGTGCTGACCACACTATCTTTTCAAATGCTGAGGTCACAGAAAAGAGTGAACTCTACTTCAATTGCCCTATAGACCGTCAGGTTTTAAAAGGGAACTTCACTTTTTTTTAAATAAGCCTATTTTAAAATTATTTTAAAAGAAATTTATTTTAAGAAATATAACGTTAACTTATACAGTATTCACGAAAACCTCATACAGTTATTGGTTAAAATTGTGTCACCAACTATAGTAAGTGGTGACTCTAGCGTCAACTAGTTCAAATAGTGATTTTACATGTTGTGTCACCATTTAAACCAGGTGGTGACACGCAGTGGCGGAACTAGAAAAAAAAGGCTCCCCCGCAAAAAAATTTTTTGGGCCCCCTATATGTATATATATATATATATATATATATATATATATATATATATATATATATATATATATATATATATATATATATTATGTATATATAAAAATATATATATATATATATATTATATATATATATATATAAATATATATATATATATATATTATATATATATATATATATAAATAAATATATATATATATTATATATATAAATATATATATATATATATATATATATATATATATTATATATATATACATATGTATAAGTAGCCCTCTTCTCAAAATTTTAAATATTCTATTACCTGCGTATTTTAATCTATTTTATTTCAATGTATAACCACTCTGAGATAACGAACCAGACAACAATAAGTCCGAACTCATTGCGAGCGCGGAATAATCGTGTTTTACAAATGTTTGTACCGAAAATAGTGACAAAAATTGTTGACTGGTCAAAATTATATAAACACGTAAGCTTGATTTTAAAATGGTTTCTCGCGTTATGTTTATTTTTATGATTTTTTGTATTTATATTATTAGGTTTGAATACATTAATTTTTATAGCTATAGGATTCTTTAGTATGCTTCATTTAAATAATAATTAAGAGAATAAATGGCTCTTTAATTTACATAGTACAAAACTATTTAAATGAGCTTTATGGGCACTCGTGTTTTGATGAAGGGCAGTAAGTCATGGAAGTAGTGTGAACGTTTGCCTATCTTTCAAAGTAGAGCTCTTGTAGATTTTATATTTTTCTACGCAACAGTGTGTGTTAGTTACTGTAGAACAATCACTGCTACAGTAGACCTGTTTGTTTTTTACAAAACTACTATCAATGTGCACGAAAAACATTATTTATGAAAGGAAAATTCATTGTTTTTTTGGTCGGAATTGGGCCCCTAAACGTCGTGCCCCCCCCCCCCCCCCGCATTGCGGGGTCTGGCGGCACTGTAGTTCCGCCCCTGGTGACACGGTTATCTAGCGACTGAACAACACTACTATCGAGCACATTGTATCACCATTTGGACACCGTGGTGACACAACTGGCCACTACACTGAGTACCAAACCAGCCCAGCACATTGTATCACCATTTGGATACACTGGTGACACGGTTATCTAACTGGAAAATGTGGTGACACTACTATCGAGCATATTGTATCACTATTTGGACATTGTGGTGACACAACTGGCCACTACACTGTGCGACAAACCAGACCAGCACATTGTATCACTATTTGGACACGGTGGTGACACTACTATCGAGCACGTTGTATCACCATTTGGACACGGTGGTGACACAACTGGCCACTACACTGTGTGACAAACCAGACCAGCACATTGTATCACTATTTGGACACGGTGGTGACACTACTATCGAGCACGTTGTATCACCATTTGGACACGGTGGTGACACAACTGTGTACCAAACCAGCCCACAGTTCGACGTGCGTGAGAAAACAGACAGCTGACGACAAATTTCTGGAATCGTTAAGTTAACAAACAGTCAGACGTAAGTCTTTAGTTCCTAGCTTGTGCTTTGGTCTCCAGCTAGACCAGTCTCCGAGATTTGCGGATTTCTGAATAACTGAATGGGTAACGATTATTTTTGCACTTTTTAACGTATGAGACTTACGCATTTTACTATCACATAAATTGCACGCAAAATATACACGATACACACATTTATTTATCTATTTATTTATATGTACATACACAAACACGCACACACACACACACACACACACACATATATATATATATATATATATATATATATATATATATATATATATATATATATATATATATATATATATATATATAAGAAATTAAATTTAAAACTTGACAAATGTGTTTTTACGTAAAATACTAATGATGCTACAGTAAGTTTAATTCAAGTTTACCACTTTACCATGAGCCCTTGAGTAGTAGCCGACATCTTTCGTATTTTTGTTATCTGTGAGCTGTTTCAGTATCTGCATACACTGTTTACAGTTGAGATAAATGATACGAAACGTTAGTGTAGGCTTACCTTTACATTTAGCCATTGCCCATGGATAGATACAACCTATACAAGGATTATCACTTGTGTAAATTACAACTGTTAATCTGGTTACTTGAGGGATACTTAATGTACAATTATTGCAGCTAAAGTGGTAGAGTATACAATGATAGAAATGTATTAAAGTTCAAAGGACCCTAATAATACGATTGAATGACTGCATGTGTTTATGTGGTGTGCGTTTGTTAAGTGCGTGTTTTTGTGTGCGCTCGATGCTTGTGTGAGTGTTTGCGTGTGTGTATAGACGCCCAACGTCCTTGACATTGCTCAGACGACCTTGTTCAGACGACCTTGCTCAGACGACCTTGTTCAGACGACCTTGTAACCTTCAGACAGATGGGTAGGCTCCAGCAGCTCTTGTGTCTGGCCATGACGTGGAGCCTGGCCGCGGCTTTCCTGACCCTCGGCTGTCCGGCCCCGGCTCCCTGCCAGTGTGACGTCAGCATTCACTGCGAGGCTCGTCAGTTAAATGGCATACCCAGGTCAATGGGGCTACTGGGCACTGAGCCGTACATTGGATTATACCTGAACCGTAACAACATTACAGTCGTTGATCAGGACTCGTTAAAGGTAGGGTAGCAATTCGGGTGAGGTAGCACAGGTAAGGTAGCACTCAGGTGAGGTAGCACTTAGTTAAGGTAGCAGTTAGGTAAGGTAGCATTTAGGTAAGGTAGCACACAGGTAAGGTAACACTTAGTTAAGGTAGCAGTTAGGTAAGGTAGCACTTAGTTAAGGTAGCAGTTAGGTAAGGTAGCACACGGGTAAGGTAGCAGTTAGTTAAGGTAGTACACAGGTAAGGTAGCACTTAGGTAAGGTAGCACTTAGGTAAGGTAGCACTTAGGTAAGGTAGCACTTAGTTAAGGTAGCACACGGGTAAGGTAGCACTTAGGTAAGGTAGCATTTAGATAAAGTAGCACTCAGGTAAGGTAGCACTTAGTCATGGTAGCAGTTAGGTAAGGTAGAAGTTAGGTAATGTAGCACTCAGATAAGGTAGCACTCAGAGTAAGGCAGGACTTAGGTAAGGTAGCACTTAGATAAGGTAGCACTTAGGTAAGGTAGCACTCAGATAAGTTAGCACTCAGGTAAGGTAGCACTCAGGTATTATAAGGCAGCACTTAGGTAAGGTAGCACTCAGATAAGGTAGCACTCAGAGTAAGGCAGGACTTAGGTAAGGTGGCACTTTACGGTAATGTAGAACTCAAGTCGTAACACTCGGGTTAGGTAAGGTAACACCCAGATTTGGTAGGTAAAGTAGAACCCAGGTAAGGTAGCTCTTAAGTAAGGTAGCACTCATGTAAGGTAACACCCAAGCTAAGCCGTGACGTTAGTTGTACTCTTCCTAAGATTAAGAAACAGAACGTCTTACATACCTAGTGTCATACATCAAGTTCATTGAATGGATGTCAAGTACCTAACTACGGTCAATTAACTGACATCATTAATTTGATAGCAGAGTCGTAGCGAGGAGGAAGGGGTGCGGACCGCACCGGGTGACACCATTTAGGGGGGTGACACCAAGCCAAAAAATAGCAAAATATATAGAGAAAAATGATAATTCCACTTAATTAAGTGATTAATTCGAGTGTTAAATAGTGTTTTAAGAGGTGTAAATCGAAAGTTTGAGGGGGGGAGGGTGCAAATACAAAGTTTGAGGGGGGTGCAAATCGAAAGTTGAAAGTTTGTCCCCGGGAAGGGTCGCTACGCCTCTGGGGGGGGGGGGTGACACCATTAAGTACCGCACCGGGTGACACCCGACATCGCTACGCCACTGTTTGATAGTACAGTCACGTTAATCTCCCCCCCCCAGGGCTACCACACCAGCACCGTCGACCTGAGCCAGAACCCCATCACCACCTTCCAAGACGACGCCTTCGTAGGGATGGAGGAATTCCTCCTGGAGCTTAACATAGAGAACACCCACATTAGGACAGTTCCAGCCTCCGTCTCCAGGTTAAAAAATCTGCAGAAACTCAACATCCAGAACAATCCAATCAGCATCCTGCATCCAAACGTCACGTTGGGAGTCGGCCAATCGTTGATCAGGTACTTTCGTTTCTCATCTGTCCTCTCGAGACTGATTTTAAAAGTGTAAACTAAAATATGAAAATAGAATTTTTGAGCAATATCTACACGGAGCCTGTTGGGAAATTAGGGGTGGTCGGTTGTTGGTAGCATTGTGATATCAATTTAGAGCTAGAACTTGCACTTGGAAAAGATGGCTAGGCTTAGGACATTTGGTTAGGCAACTGCTATGACAAAAAATACTAGATTTTTGCGCTAAAAAAACGACTCCAGACTAAGCCACACTAATGTTTCCGATGTTCTTAATAAATATTTTGTGTCTTGGGAGTACTTGTGTTACCCGTCTCCAACAATAGACTCTCCTGAAAAAAAGGATTAGAAATATTGTCATAAATTATCATGTTAAGTATTAGGGGTTAGAAGCCAGGGTTGGATTAGGGTTATGGTTTGGGCTAGGGATCTGATTACTGTTTAGAAGCTCTATCAGTATTTAGTTCACTAGCAACAACCTAACACCATTTTAAGGAGATTCCATCATTGTGGCATTGTCGGATATAAGACATATCCCATGTTTTGTTTCAGCCTATCAGTATTTAGTTCACTAGCAACAACCTAACACCATTTTAAGAAGATGCCATCATTGTGGCATTGTCGGATATAAGACATATCCCATGTCTTATTTCAGCCTATCAATGGGCAGGACCAACATCCGCTACTGGCCACTGATATAAGACTTATCCAGTACTAGCCACTGGTATAAGACATATCCCATGTTTTGTTTCAGCCTATCAATGGGCAGGACCAACATCCGCTACTGGCCACTGATATAAGACATATCCCATGTTTTGTTTCAGCCTATCTATGGGCAGGACAAACATCCGCTACTGGCCACTGATATAAGACATATCCCATGTTTTGTTTCAGCCTATCTATGGGCAGGACCAACATCCGCTACTGGCCACTGATATAAGACATATCCCATGTTTTGTTTCAGCCTATCTATGGGCAGGACCAACATCCGCTACTGGCCACTGATATAAGACATATCCCATGTTTTGTTTCAGCCTATCTATGGGCAGGACCAACATCCGCTACTGGCCACTGATATAAGACATATCTCATGTTTTGTTTGAGCCTATCTATGGGCAGGACCAACATCCGCTACTGGCCACTGATATAAGACATATCCCATGTTTTGTTTCAGCCTATCAATGGGCAGGACCAACATCCACTACTGGCCACTGATATAAGACATATCCCATGTTTTGTTTCAGCCTATCTATGGGCAGGACCAACATCCGCTACTGGCCACTGATATAAGACATATCCCATGTTTTGTTTCAGCCTATCAATGGGCAGGACCAACATCCGCTACTGGCCACTGATATAAGACATATCCCATGTTTTGTTTCAGCCTATCTATGGGCAGGACCAACATCCGCTACTGGCCACTGATATAAGACATATCCAGTACTAGCCACTGATATAAGACATATCCCATGTTTTGTTTCAGCCTATCTATGGGCAGGACCAACATCCGCTACTGGCCACTGATATAAGACATATCTCATGTTTTGTTTCAGCCTATCTATGGGCAGGACCAACATCCGCTACTGGCCACTGATATAAGACATATCCCATGTTTTGTTTCAGCCTATCTATGGGCAGGACCAACATCCGCTACTGGCCACTGATATAAGACATATCCCATGTTTTGTTTCAGCCTATCAATGGGCAGGACCAACATCCGCTACTGGCCACTGATATAAGACATATCCCATGTTTTGTTTCAGCCTATCTATGGGCAGGACCAACATCCGCTACTGGCCACTGATATAAGACATATCCAGTACTAGCCACTGATATAAGACATATCCCATGTTTTGTTTCAGCCTATCTATGGGCAGGACCAACATCCGCTACTGGCCACTGATATAAGACATATCTCATGTTTTGTTTCAGCCTATCTATGGGCAGGACCAACATCCGCTACTGGCCACTGATATAAGACATATCCCATGTTTTGTTTCAGCCTATCTATGGGCAGGACCAACATCCGCTACTGGCCACTGATATAAGACATATCCCATGTTTTGTTTCAGCCTATCAATGGGCAGGACCAACATCCGCTACTGGCCACTGATATAAGACATATCCCATGTTTTGTTTCAGCCTATCTATGGGCAGGACCAACATCCGCTACTGGCCACTGATATAAGACATATCCAGTACTAGCCACTGATATAAGACATATCCCATGTTTTGTTTCAGCCTATCTATGGGCAGGACCAACATCCGCTACTGGCCACTGATATAAGACATATCCCATGTTTTGTTTCAGCCTATCAATGGGCAGGACCAACATCCACTACTGGCCACTGATATAAGACATATCCCATGTTTTGTTTCAGCCTATCTATGGGCAGGACCAATATCCGCTACTGGCCACTGATATAAGACATATCCCATGTTTTGTTTCAGCCTATCAATGGGCAGGACCAACATCCGCTACTGGCCACTGATATAAGACATATCCCATGTTTTGTTTCAGCCTATCAATGGGCAGGACCAACATCCGCTACTGGCCACTGATATAAGACATATCCCATGTTTTGTTTCAGCCTATCTATGGGCAGGACCAACATCCGCTACTGGCCCTCCTCACTCAACTCGCTGGCCCATCTCCAGTTTTTAAACATGTCCAACAACCGGGTCATCTTCCTGCGAGATGGCGCTGTGTCCAGCTTTAGCAACACACTACACGAGCTGCATCTTGTCAACAGTAGCCTGACCTCATTTCAACAGGAACTTTCTAGTCTCAAGGCATTGTGGGTCAGTGTTGCCATAATGTGGTTGTAGTCAGTGTTTACATTGTGGTTATGGTCAGTGTTTACATTGTGGTTATGGTCAGTGTTTACATTGTGGCTATGGTCAGTGTTTATACTGTGGTTGTGGTCGGTGTTTACATTGTGGTTATGGTCAGTGTTTACATTGTGGCTATGGTCAGTGTTTACATTGTGGCTATGGTCAGTGTTTACATTGTGGCTATGGTCAGTGTTTACATTGGTCAGTATTTACATTGTGGTTATGGTCAGTGTTTACATTGGTCAGTATTTACATTGTGGTTATGGTCAGTGTTTACATTGTGGCTATGGTCAGTGTTTATACTGTGGTTGTGGTCGGTGTTTACATTGTGGTTATGGTCAGTGTTTACATTGTGGCTATGGTCAGTGTTTACATTGTGGCTATGGTCAGTGTTTACATTGTGGCTATGGTCAGTGTTTACATTGGTCAGTATTTACATTGTGGTTATGGTCAGTGTTTACATTGTGGTTATGGTCAGTGTTTACATTGGTCAGTATTTACATTGTGGTTATGGTCAGTGTTTACATTGTGGCTATGGTCAGTGTTTACATTGGTCAGTATTTACATTGTGGTTATGGTCAGTGTTTACATTGTGGTTATGGTCAGTGTTTACATTGTGGTTATGGTCAGTGTTTACATTGTGGCTATGGTCTGTGTTTACATTGTGGCTATGGTCAGTGTTTACATTGTGGCTATGGTCAGTGTTTACATTGGTCAGTATTTACATTGTGGTTATGGTCAGTGTTTACATTGTGGTTATGGTCAGTGTTTACATTGTGGCTATGGTCAGTGTTTACATTGTGGTTATTGTCAGTGTTTACATTGTGGTTATGGTCAGTGTTTTCATTGTCGATATGGTAAGTGTTTACATTGTGGCTATGGTCAATATTTACATTGGTCAATATTTATATTGTGGCCATGGTCAGTGTTAACATTGTAGATCTTCTAGTTGTATTTTACTTTTATATGATCTACAATGTTGTATTATAAAGCTGTTATAAAGCAAGTTTAATTTCTCAGGTGTGTGTTATATGAAATTGCATTCTTCAGGTGTGAGAGATATAGTTCTATGTTTAGGGCTGTGATAAGGTTTATAACGTTTTATTTTTATATGTGTGATGTATAATGTTATATTTACATGTGTGTGATGTCTGAACTCTTATTTTTTCTCATGCGGTGTTATATTTTCAGACGCGTGTTGTTATATTTACAGATGTGTATTGTTATATTTTCAGACGCGTGTTGTTATATTTACAGATGTGTATTGTTATATTTTCAGACGCGTGTTGTTATATTTTCAGATGTGAGTTGTTATATTTTTATGTGTGTGTGATATATAAAGTTATACTTCCAGATGTGAAATAAAAAATGTTCTACTTTCAGGTGTTGGACCTATCACAAAATGTTCTACTTTCAGGTGTTGGACCTATCACAAAATGTTCTACTTTCAGGTGTTGGACCTATAACAAAATGTTCTACTTTCAGGTGTTGGATCTATCACAAAATGTTCTACTTTCAGGTGTTGGATCTATCACAAAATGTTCTACTTTCAGGTGTTGGATCTATCACAAAATGTTCTACTTTCAGGTGTTGGATCTATCACAAAATGTTCTACTTTCAGGTGTTGGATCTATCACAAAATGTTCTACTTTCAGGTGTTGGATCTATCACAAAATGTTCTACTTTCAGGTGTTGGATCTATCACAAAATGACATCGCAGATATTCCTGCAGGAGCTTTTAGAAATATTTCCGGATCTCTGAGGAAATTTACTATGTCGTCTGCTCGACTCACCTACCTACCACCTGCCCTAGCCGACCTCTTGGTCATTGAGGTAAGTGGCATTTGTATATCTTGGTCATTGAGGTAAGTGACATTCGTATCTCTTGGTCATTGAGGTAAGTGGCATTCGTAGTGCCATCTACCTCTGTTAACATTGACGTTACCTACTGTTTAAGGAATATCTCGAATGCAGGTGAGCACTGTGTCCAAGATCTCCCGAAAGCTTTAAAATGGCCTCCTAACCCAGATTAAAAATTTTGTTTGGTACTTTATCCGTGTCTATATCTGCTTGCCTCACTAACTTTAACAAGAGGATTTTTCGATGAGTGGGTCTAATTTTAACTAGAGTGATACAATTTCTAACATTTGTTTTTTAAAGTGGAAGTCGGCTTCATTATCTTGTCCGGTCCTTCTGCGAAATGCCAAATTCTTTTTTTAATTAAATTTACGCCATTGCATGTAAAAAGGGAATTGGTAAAATGAAGAAATACCAAATTTTTAAAAAAAATCAAAGCACCATTAGGCCCATTACATTGCCGTTTTATTGGGATCTAATTGATATTTTTCCCTGGGGTCGACCGGGATTTTTCCAAGTAGACCTGAAGGCCAGTGTACCCCGGGTCGAAAGGATTGGTACATTTCTAGAGCTGATCCAAAATGTTAGGTTAAGATTATTTCAAACAAAAATAGCTTCGCATTTTTAAATTATTAAAGTAGTTGTTAGCATCTAAGTTTAGACTGATTTTCCAAGATTTTTAAACATCCAATAAAAAAGTTAAATTTAAGCCATGCGTTAACCAAAACAGATTATCTAAAATCTAATCTGCCATAAACATGAAATTTTTTACTCAAATATATTTTTTAATAAAATTCTAATATATATTTTTATACATTTTTCTTCCTGTGTTATATGCTTTTTTATTATTTTTTTTAATAAAATTCACTTCAAACGGACTGATTTGCAAAAATATAGACAGTTATTTCCCTTGATAAAATTAACTGCTTTTATTTTTAGACCAACTTGGCATTAAAAACAGGCTGTTCATTAGGTTTATCTAATTGGTTTTTAATCTGCCAATTATTTCTCATTAGCTGATTAGTATTTCCTGTCATGTAAGCCTAGAGGTTCAGCTAAGATAATTACCTTCGTTTTTGTTCACATCATGTAATGGTAATAGCTGAAATGTTGAAATGGGACCATGATGGAGTAAGGCCTTGATGAAATAAGACCATGCTAAAATGGGACCATGATGGAGTAAGGCCTTGATGAAATAAGACCATGCTAAAATGGGACCATGTTAAAATGGGATCATTATGAACTGAAACCATATTGAAATAAGACCATGCTAAAATGGGATCATGTTAAAATTGGACCATTATGAAATGAAACCATGTTGAAATGTGAATACGTTGAAATGGAACAAGATGGGAGGGGAGGTAATTAGTTTAACGCGTGGCTGGGGAAGGGAGAGGTGAGTGAGTAGTTTACACGTGTGATTGGTACTCACCAAAGTTCACGCTGACCTCCAGGAGATCGACTTGAGCGACAACCCCATGCTGTCCACCAACAACGACGTCCTTGACACCGGCACCGACCCCCTGCTCCTGAACGCCGCCATCAGCCTCCGCAGCTTGAACCTGGCCTCCTGCAGTCTGCTGGCGATGCCGCGTGCCGTCAAAAGTCTGGCATACCTGGAGCTGCTGGACCTCAGCGGCAACAAGATCAGCCTGTTGCACAACTTCCAGTTCAGTACGCTGACACACCTCAAGGTGCTCATACTCAACGACAACCCGCTGTCGAACATCCCGTAAGTAGCTGGTGGTTGTATTCAATTGGGAAATGACCACATGGGGAATGACCAACTGGGAATTGACCAACTGGAAAATGACTCAGTGGGAAATGACCAGCCTGGAAATGACCAGTTTGGAAATGACCAACTGGGAAATGACCAACTGGGAAATGACCAACTGAGAAATGACCAACTAGACTATGACCAACTATCCCTGCAGACATGCATCCACTTTACACTCACCTAGTTGACTACACTTGTACGAAACATCATGTTAATCCTAATTCACTAATCTCTATTACAACACAACTCCCCAGGTACAAATCTTTCGGCGGCCTTGTGTCTTTAAACAGCATCCACCTGGCCAGGTGTCACATGTCCTACGTGCCTAGCTCGTCACTCTCTGACCCCACTGAGCTCACCACGGTAATCTATTTTTAGAAACACTGATCGCCATCTACCGGTTAAGATTTTTTTTTAAATAACTAAATTTCGTCTCATGTTCTGATTATGTATAGCTGGACTTGTCAAGTAATCGAATATCTAATATACTCGATAACGCCTTCCCAAACGCACGCAAGCTGGCATCAGTGGACTTGTCCAACAACTCGATACTGGAGGTGAAGGACGATGCGTTTAAGGACGCCCACAGCATCAGGACGCTGAGGTTATCCAGGTATAAGTGGGTCAAGTGACAGACCGTCTGGGGGGGGGGGGGGGGAGACATAAGGAATTTAAAACAATGGATAACTTTTAAATTATTTACTCAATCTGAAAACTCGCCAATTTGCAATGTCGAAAAGTTGGTGTCACTCTAGCTCGTGCTTACCAAGATCTATCGAACGTTGCTAAATTTTGTTGTTAGTTAAAACCAATCTGGTTCAAAAGTCCGAACATGTTCTTTCATTCTGTACCAATGTCATTATGGTCATTGACTTGTAAATGACACACGGTCCATGGACAAATTTTTGTCAGTGTTTTAAAAATATTTCCTCGGGGGGGGGGGGGGGGGGGGGGAGGCATTTGAAACTTGAGTGGATGGTTGGACAATAGTTCTACCTAAATTTAAGGGGGGACCTGTAGTCAAAGCACATTTTGCTACAAGCTATACAATACATGCTTTTTTTTTTGGAATTTTATTAACTTTAAAATACTTCAAACAATATAACATTGTATTTTTTGGGGAACAATTTATACATGTTTTGCCAAATTTGGTGTCAAATTGAACATTTTTTAGGTACACAGTAGAATGAAAATAACTAAAAATATAATTGAAAACAATGCAAAGTAACCTGGCATATTCATAGTAGACATGACAATTGACTATCTGATAGAAGGAAATTTTGATATCTTACAAAATGAATTTTTTGTTAAATTTTTAAAAAGTAAAAATTTTTTTCCATATGATTTTCTATGAAAGCAATTCTAAAAACTTTCACAGTTTAAAAAAAAAATAAAGTTCAGCCAAACCCTTCTACTACTTTATAACATATGTTAGTAACATACAGTGGCAGTTTGAAGTATCTCTGATAGGCGCTTTTTGAGTTAAATTCATTCACGCGAGATCTATATGGTAAAATGGACAAAACTGAGTAAACTCAAAATTAAGCATTATTGACTAAATGTTTTGTCATATAAGGGTATGCATTAGCAAAATAATGAATAACTTTGACAAATAATTACTTTTTCCGATAACATTATTGGGGAAAACAACATTTTACTCAATTTACAAAAAAAAAAAAAAAAAAAAAAAAAAAAAAATTCGATGCCAGTCTTCACTAGATATCAAAGTCCCCAAAATATGAGATAAAAAAACTGATTTTAGACCAGAAAATTGAAATTTTTCAAGAAAGTTGACTACAGGTCCCCCCTTAATATTTTTTCTGTTTTATTGTGGAGAAGAGTGGGTTGAGATACATTAATATAGGGGAGGCTACTCATTCAGTACACAAATTGTGTTAATCTTATAGTTGTTTCCCTTTACTTTGTAAAATTCACCGTGTAATGAAAGTTTAACAGATGTGTCGCGACTGTCATTTTCAGGTGTTCGCTGACAACATTGCCTAGGTCGCTGGTCAAAGCAGACGGCCTGCGGTCAGTTTACGTGGACGGGAACCACATACCTTGCACGTGCGACCTGAGCTGGATCTCCGCCTGGCAGTCTCAGACGGGTCTGATCCCCAACATCATTGGTCGCTGTGACGATGACCCTACCATGACCTTTAACACCTTCGTCACGTCCAGCCTACAACAATGTGGCCCAAGCAACATCGCAGTTGGATAGGCGCCTTCACTAGTCATCGCTGGGTTCTGCTTTATTTTACTATCAGGGATTTTTATTATTTGTGCTCCAAATTTGTAACATAATAAACAAAATCGCATTTCTTGGGTTATCTTCTATAGACTTCGTGAAGTGATACATTATATATGATACCAATATAAAGATTTGCTTCCAAATGTTATGGATACTAAATTATTATTACCAATTTTTAGCGGTAATCCGATTTTTTTTTCCGTTTGAGCTTCAATTTTCCTTCGATTACTTCATTTTCTCCGAATTGTTCCACCAATTTTAGATTTTTTGCGAAGTTTGGAAAATTTGGATGAAAGTGATAATGACCTCTATGGAAACGACCGAATTATGCATTTGACACATTTCTTTTCAATTAGATGATTAAAGTAGATCTGACGGCTCTAGATAACAGGGATAGGTAAGTCAAGTGAAGTAGAGTTTCTGTGACCTCGGCATATGAGAGAGATAGTGTGGTCAGCACTATGCCCAGCCGCTTTTACTTTCCCTAACGTGAGTTAGGTACCCATCAGAGTTGGGTGGACTCATGGACGGTCTATTGACTTGAACCCGGATTCGAACTCGAAACTTACGTGTTAGCAGTCCAGCTCTCTACCACTAGACCACTCAGTCCTCAGATAACAGGTATGCAACTTCCAAATTCCGGCGGATTTCCGAAGTTTTCAAAAATCGCAAATTTTTACTCCGAATTTTCCACTGGTATTTCTAGTTAAATATTTTCACACAAAAATGGGACGGCGGGGCCTAGCGGTAGAGAGCTAGGCTGCTATCCGGGTTCAAGTCAGTAAAATGTCCCTGGAAAAACAAAAACGGCTGAGCAAAGTGCTGACCTCACTATCTATCATATGCCGAGGTCACAGGTGAACTCTATTTCATCTGCCCCGTTTGCCTTGGGCGGATCCCTGAAAAAAAGCGCGATCGGAACAATGCGCAAATACAAACTAGTTATACTAAATCACTTACATTTTGTCATATTTGGTGGAAATGTTTTATTATGCTACAATATACACGTAGTTAATGTCTAAAAATGCTCGATTTTAGAAAACACTGATGCCCTTGCGCACTTTTTCTTAGCGCATCCTTCCGGTCACCGTCTTTGGGCACGAACGGGAAAAGAAGATAATTTTCACACCAAAAAAATTGGGGAAATATTTTAAAATGCCGTGTTTTAAAATGAAAAGTAATTATCCCGAGCTCGATTTCTTGACCGATGATCTCGCATGCACGAGACTATTTTTACAAGCTTTTAAAATTCATCTTTCTTTTTAAAGCTTCCCTTTTAGCGTTTCGTCAGCTTTCTATTATCAGTTGGTTACCTTTACTAATATATTAGTGACCCACGCTTTTCTGTATGGTTATTTAAATAGTAGTGTATTATTATATATTTAAAGAAAATCACTTATTTATTTCATTTTTAGTGCATTATTACATAAAAGCTTGTTATTAAAAAGGTCGTATGCATATTTTTAATTAATAGATTTAGATGGAAGATAAGAAATTAAATAAAAATTAAAAACAACATTGCAACTAGCTCATTACAATTAAAATTAGCTTAAAGTTGAAAAGAAAGTTCATTTCAATTTTTGTCTTTATTAATATGTCGATTAAATATTTTATGACACTCTAAACTATTTTAAATCTTTTTATATCTATTACAAAAACAGTTTTATTTTTTTTTTAACAAGAGGTATTTTGAATGCCATTTCGACTCCATGAATTTGCAGAAAAAGTATAAACTGAGTGTATATTTCGGGGATTTATACAGATATTTAAACACGTTCCACCCACTAAGGAAAAAAACATAACTTACAGAAACAACTAGATCTGTGTGCTAATGGCCAATGTAATGCAGTGGCATCACAAGACGGCGTAGGTGGTGCGGTCCGCACCGGGTGACGCCAATTTTAGGGGTGACACCGAATTTAAAAATTGTAAAATATGCCATTAAAATGATGTTTTATCCCGTAACAGTAATAGCTTAGTAGTTTGAATCCAAACTGAAATTGCAAAATTGGTGTAGGGCGTTGACACCTTCAGTTACCGCACCGGGTGACACCCGGCCTAGTGACGCCGCTGGTGTTATGTGTGTAAAAATCTCTTTCTGTAGTAATCATCGCATGCACACATCTCAGCGTCTAGAGTAGAACGAGGCACATTTTTTATTACAAAACCAGTCCACTTTAGCATCAGTCTACTGTATGTCTATCTATATTCCTTTACCATCATAGATCTATATCATGCGCAAGTATAAACCCTTAAGATTTGCTGCCCTTTTCATGTTATCGAGTTCATTGACACAAAACACAAAATGTATTTTCGACTCACTTGCACAATATATCTTGACTCCGATTGTTATTACAATACATACTCTTGTAAAAATGAGAAAAGAAAACCACGTACTATGTTGCACAGCAAATGAATGCGTTTGTTGCGTTTAAAAAGGAAAGAAAACATGGTAGATACAAGTTTTATTCAGCTGAATTTTTTAAACTCAAAGACCAATTGCTGGATGAACATCTATTTTTAGAACAACACCACCATAATGTGGAGGACATCACATTCGCAATAGTCTATGTTTTCATTGAAGTACGCGCTTTGTTTATTAACACGTATTACTCCAATTGGCGGATACTCGCAATGACCAATGTCCACACACTTAGATGTGAGGTGTATATCGGCATCCGTCCATTTTCGTGGGAAATTTGAATCAGCACTCCGCTTATTTGGATATATATATACAATAGTACTCCGACCGGTCACACTGACTTATTTATCAAGTTGTGTCATTGTACTGCCATCATAATGGCTTGTAGACTGATTTATCAAGTTGTGTCATTGTACCGCCAACACAATGGCTTGTAGACTTATTTATCAAGTTGCGTCAGTGTACTGTACTGACAACAAAATGGCTTGTAGACTGATTTATACTTAACTACTGACCTGACGTGCAGACGTGTATATACTAACGGTAGACGACCATGCCCGTCACTCCAGGTGGCATGTTGTTCAGGCGCATGTGGATTGGACCAGCGCCCCGAGGGGTGTCCTTCACCCCACGGGGTGTCCTTGCTGGAGCACGTATTAACGGACAGTTGTAGCTTAGCTCTTCAACTTGGCAATGGCCTTATTATACTAGCCTGGCGAGCAGATGTCTATACTAACGGTAGACGCCCCTGCCCGTCAATCAAGGTGCATGTCGCTAAGGCGCATGCGGTAATCCAGCACCCGCAGGGGTGTCCTCGATAGAGCTCGTATGACGGACAGTTGTTGCTATATCTTCAACCTGGCATTGGCCTTATTATACACGTGTATGGCCTACTTAATTCAACTCGGCGTGTAGGCTTGTTCATAGCTGACCCCCAAATAGGCGTCCGAGGCTTGTCTATATCTGCATCCTAATAGTGCATAAACTTTGGTCTAGCCAGTGCCAATATTCGAACATTTTCTTGTTCGAGAGTACACACACACACCACACACACCACACACACCACACACACACACACCACACACACACACCACACGCATACACACACCACACTTCACACACACACACCACACACACACCACACACACACACCACACGCACACACACCACACGCATACACACACACACACTTCACACACACACGCACCACACCTCATACACACACCACACACACACACACACCACACTTCACACACACACACACACACACCACACACACACACCACACTTCACACACACTTCACACACACCACACACACACACACCACACTTCACACACACACACCACACACACACCACACACACACACACACCACACACACACACACCACACACACACACCACACTTCACACACACTTCACACACACCACACACACACACACCACACTTCACACACACCACACACACACCACACACACACACCACACTTCACATACCACACATACACACACACACCACACAACACACACACACCACACACACACACACCACACACACCACACACACACCACACACACACCACACACACACCACACACACAGAGAGATACATACACTCCTTCTCTTGTCACATTGTCACAATAGTCCTAACACCCCACCATTTTCTGGGAGCGTGACGTCATGTAAAACAATAATTAATATTTTAAGCGATCGATAAAGTAATCATAATTAAAGGTAAACATAATTAGAGATTATGATTGACTTACTAATTAGGCCTACAGATAATTATATTTTTAAAAATCTAAAATTTCTATATATTCAGCTGATGCTGGATTAAATGTTATCACTCAATTTGCTCTTGAGTAGTAGGGGCTACCATGAGTAGGGACCACCATGAGACCACCATGAGTAGAGACAACCGTGAGTAGAGACTACCGTGAGTAGAGACTACCATGAGTAGAGACTACCGTGAGTAGAGACTACCGTGAGTAGAGACTACCAGCCATGAGCAATTTTTTGGGTTATTTTTAAAAAAATGAAAATTAACTGCTGATATGTAGAGAGTGATCTAACATTTCACATGATGGAATCAAAAAGATAAACACTATTTGGATGACAGAAATAAAAAGAATACTATTAGTATTGTAATTGTCGAATTAATAATAAAATTGCCAATTTTTAAAGTTTTCATTATGCTGGAGGCATGAGAAAGAAGCTCTAATATTTTGAATTTTTAACATTGCCTTCTTAAACTAATTTAGTTATATGCAATATAATTACATTTTAAAAATGTGTGTATGTTTTTAGTTTATACTGGCTTGAAATGTATTACTAGCAAGCCACTCTATTAATAAATGTAAAGTAAAGTTTCCCTTTCAAACCTGACGGTCTATGGGGCAAGTGAAGTAGAGTTCACTTGTTTCTGTGACCTCGGCATATGAAGAGATAGTGTGGTCAGCACTATGCCCAAATAAATGTACATGTAGTTTTTTTCACTTTAAAAAAAAACAGAGTCTGTATTAAAATTAGATTGACTTTGTGATGTATTTCATTTTCAACATGAAGTAGAGTTCACTTGTTTCTGTGACCTCGGCATATGAAGAGATAGTGTGGTCAGCACTATGCCCAAATAAATGTACATGTTGTTTTTTTCACTTTAAAAAAAAAACAGAGTCTGTATTAAAATTAGATTGACTTTGTGATGTATTTCATTTTCAACATGACGCCTAGATATAAAAACATTTAATAATAATATTAAACAGTGTGAGATTATCAAATGCCTTAATATTTCAGGTTATTTTGACAGGAATAAATGGAGCAGTATATGTTGTGACGTTTATTAGAAACTTTTCCCTTGAACTAAACAATTTAATAGGAGCTAAATAAACTTTGTGGGTTTGGCCATCATTTTATTTTCAAATACATTTTTTGGTAGACAACTTATGCATTTTACTTGAATAAAAAATATAACAAAACATTGGTCCCACACTATAAATTCTTTCATAGTTTAAATATTAAGTTCTAAAAAGGACTTCAAGGGAGTTAAGTAAGATACATTTAAAAACAATTCATGGCAGTTTTGCTTCATCATTGTACAACACTACCAGTGATATATTTTAAGATAATTTAACATATTATTGATGGGGCAAACAAAAGTATTTTCTTAATATGAAAGCTCGCCAATTTACAATGTCCAAAAGTTGGTGTCACTCTAGTTAGTGTTTACCAGGATCTATCAAACCTTGCTAAATTTTGTTGCTAGCTAAAACCAATCAGGATCTATCAAACGTTGCTAAATTTTGTTGCTAGCTAAAACCAATATGGTTCAAAAGTCCGAACACGTTTTTTGCATTCTGTGCCGATGTCTATATTTGGTTACTGTCTTGAAAATGAACAAATGAGTTACTTAACTTGAAAACAATTACTGATACTGTCAGTGTTTTTCAGATATTTTTCTCCTGGGGGTGGGGGGGGGGGCTTTGAAACACAAGAGGGTGGAACAATTGTTAAAGTATATAATTTCTACATAAAAAATTATTTTCTGTTTTATACCTGGGAAGAGAGGAGGGGGAATTATTGTTGAGATAAAGGCAATTTAGGGGAGGCTACTCATACATTACACAATTGGTGTTGATCTTATAGTTGCTTCCCTTTACGTTGTAAAATACCAGTGTATTGAAGTCCATCAGCTGTGGTGGCTGTCATTTTCAGGTGTTCGCTGACGACATTGCCTAGGTCTCTGGTCAAAGCAGACGGCCTGCGGTCAGTTTACGTGGACGGGAACCACATACCGTGCACGTGCGACCTGAGCTGGATCTCCGCCTGGCAGTCTCAGACGGGTCTGATCACCAACATCATTGGTCGATGTGACGATGACCCTACCATGACCTTTAACACCTTCGTCACGTCCAGCCTACAACAATGTGACCCAAACAACATCGCTGTTGGATAGGCACCATCTCTAGTCATCGCTGGGTTCTGCTTAATTTTATTTTTACTATCAGGGATTTTTATTATTTGTGCTCCAAATTTGTAACATAATAAACAAAATCGCATTTCTTGGGTTATCTTCTATAGACTTCGTGAAGTGATACATTATAGATTCCAATATAAAGATTTGCTTTTAAATGTTATGGATACTAAATTATTATTACCAATTTTTAGCGGCAATCCAATTTTTTTTTCTCGTTTGAGCTTCAATTTTCCTTTGATTACTTCATTTTCTCCGAATTGTTCCACCAATTTTAGATTTTTTGCGAAGTTTGAAAAATTTGGGTGAAAGTGGTAATAACAACTACGGAAACGGTCGAATTGTGCATTTGACATATTTCTTTTCAATTGGATGATTAAAGTAGATCTGACGGCAACAGATAACAGGGATAGGTAAGTCAAGTTTCCCTTTCAAACCTGACGGTCTATGGGGCAAGTCGAGTTTCCCTTTCAAACCTGACGGTCTATGGGGCAAGTCGAGTTTCCCTTTCAAACCTGACGGTCTATGGGGCCAGTCGAGTTTCCCTTTCAAACCTGACGGTCTATGGGGCCAGTCGAGTTTCCCTTTCAAACCTGACGGTCTATGGGGCAAGTCGAGTTTCCCTTTCAAACCTGACGGTCTATGGGGCCAGTCGAGTTTCCCTTTCAAACCTGACGGTCTATGGGGCAAGTCGAGTTTCCCTTTCAAACCTGACGGTCTATGGGGCAAGTCGAGTTTCCCTTTCAAACCTGACGGTCTATGGGGCAAGTCGAGTTTCCCTTTCAAACCTGACGGTCTATGGGGCAAGTCGAGTTTCCCTTTCAAACCTGACGGTCTATGGGGCCAGTCGAGTTTCCCTTTCAAACCTGACGGTCTATGGGGCCAGTCGAGTTTCCCTTTCAAACCTGACGGTCTATGGGGCAAGTCGAGTTTCCCTTTCAAACCTGACGGTCTATGGGGCAAGTCGAGTTTCCCTTTCAAACCTGACGGTCTATGGGGCAAGTCGAGTTTCCCTTTCAAACCTGACGGTCTATGGGGCAAGTCGAGTTTCCCTTTCAAACCTGACGGTCTATGGGGCAAGTCGAGTTTCCCTTTCAAACCTGACGGTCTATGGGGCAAGTCGAGTTTCCCTTTCAAACCTGACGGTCTATGGGGCAAGTCGAGTTTCTGTGACCTCGGCATATTAAGAGATACTGTGGTCAGCACTATGCCCAGCCGCCTTTACTTTCCCTAACGTGAGTTAGGTGCCCATCAGAGCTGGATGGAAGGTGTACTGACTTGAACCAGGATTTGAACTTGAAACTTACGGGTTAGCAGTCCATCTCTCTACCGCTAGACCACTCCGTCCCAAGATAATAGGGTTGTGACTTCCAAATTCCGGCGGATTTCCGAATTTTTCAAAAATCGCAAATTTTTACCCCGAATTTTCCACTGGTATTTCTAGTTAAACTAGGCATGCTGCCCAGCTTCAGTTAGGCTTCCGAAAACATTGAGAATTTGAATGCTTAATTAATTCGCCCGAGGGTCGGTCTACGACCTCAAGAGTTATGAAGAGGTTCCTCCGAGGACATTTTTTTTCGATTTATAGCTCATATAAGGCGCCGGTCAGTCGAGGTCAGTTTTGACCCCCTCATCGTAGACTTTTCGGCCAACCGGCCCTCGTGTTCTGTCACCCCAAGGCAAGATCCTGCCAAATTTAAAGCGCCTGCGGCGCCGGGAAGTGCCCTATCGGACACCCGACAACTTTGCTTTATATAATATAGAGATAGAGATTAGCAAATTGCATAGATAAACAAAGATTTCAATAAAGTAATTAAGGCCTGAAATACTTTAGTATAGAAATGTATTGTTTGAATAGATTCTAGATCTAGGTAGGGTCTACATCTGTGTAAGTCTAGTTTTTCCGTTGATCTAGTAGATCATCTAGATCTAGATCTAGAATCCTAATAGAATTTTTTTTTAAGTTTAGCCCGAGCAAAATAAAAAAAATAGATTAACCAAGTTGACTTGGTGCGTCTCGAACCCGCACCACCTGCGTGGGTTTAAGTACACTATCGTCTCCGCTATATAGGCACCTTATAAAACACGGAGAATAAAAGACGTATTTTAAAATCTTAACTTACGCGATTATGGCTATTCTTTCAAATTAATTTTTTTTATCCCAAATTAGCCAGTTCCAAACAAAGATTTTGTATAAAATAATTATGTCTTGAAATAGTTTAGTCCTAATGTAGAAATTTATTTTTGGAATAGATTCTAGAGAAGTTAGTGTCTAAATCTAGATCTAGATCTTAGCGTCTACGTCTGGATCTAGTTATTGCGTAGATTTGTAGATTTAGATCTAGTCTAGATCTAGAATCTCTAGATCTAGAATCCAAATAAATAAAATAAATTTTATGGTTTAGGCCGGAAAAATTGTATTGTGTACATTTCATAGTGTACGTAGATCTAAATCAAATTTGAATGAAATAGTTCATTTCTTTTTATTCTAGACACGGCTAAACACGGCAGATGACGTCATTAGTTAATGTAATGTATAAACATTAGTGACGTCACAGCTTTATGCGTTCTTTTTCACATCTATAAATGCTTTTCCGGTTGCATAAATAATACTGTTTTTCTACATTCGAATACGCCTTTATTTTTATTTTTCTTCTTTAAATAAAATTGTGGTTATACATTTAAAACAACTACCATATTATTTTCAACAAAAGTCCGTATAAAGTTCTCGATATATCGCTGTAGATTCTAATGTGATGTCTGGCGAAAATATTTTGCGGACAGACAGAGAGAGAGAGAGAGAGAGAGAGAGAGAGAGAGAGAAGTGCGAACGTGGCCCATTATATATTAGGATAATTTCACACAAAAATGGGACAGCGTGGCCTAGCGGTAGAGAGCTAGGCTGCTATCCGGGTTCAAGTCAGTAAAATGTCCCTGGAAAAACAAAAACGGCTGGTTAAAGTGCTGACCTCACTTTCCATCATATGCCGAGGTCACAGATGAACTCTACTTCATCTGCCTCGTTTGTCTTGGGCGGTTCCTTGAAAAAAAGCGCGATCGGAACAATGCGCAAATACAAACTAATTATAATGAAACACTTAAATTTTGTCATATTTCGTAGAAATGTTTTATTATGCTACAATGGTAATGTCTAAAAAATGCTCGATTTTAAAAACACTGATGCTCTTGCGCACTTTTTCTTAGCGCATCCTTCCGGTCACCGTCTTTGGGCACGAACGGGAATAGAAGATGATTTTCACACCAAAAAAATTGGGGGGAAATATTTTAAAATGCCGTTTTAAAATGAAAAGTAATTATCCCGAGCTCGATTTCTTGACCGATAATCTCGCATGCGCGAGACTATTTTTTACAAGCTTTTTAAATTCATCTTTGTTTTTAAAAAGCTTCCCTTTTAGCGTTTCGTCAGCTTTCAATTATCAGTTGGATAACTTTACTAATATATTAGTGACCCACGCTTCTCTGTATAGATATTTAAATAGTAGTGTATTATTATATATTTAAAGAAAATCACTTACTTATTTTTCTTTTTAGTACATTATTACATAAAAGGTTGTTATTAAAAAGGTTTTATGCATATTTTTAATAGATTTAGATGGAAGATAAGAAATTAAATAAAAATTAAAAACAACATTGCAACTGGCTCATTACAATTAAAATTAGCTTAAAGTTGAAAAGAAAGTTCATTTCAATTTTTGTCGTTATTAATATGTCCATTAAATATTTTATAACACTATAAACTATTTTAAATCCTTTTATGTCTATTACAAAAACAAAGTTTTATTTTTTAAACAAGAGTTATTTTGAACGCTACTACGACTCCATGAGGTTGCAGAAAAAGTATAAACTGGGTGCATGTATACAGATATTTAAACACGTTCCACCCACTAAGGAAAAAATCATAAGTTACAGAAAAATCTAGATCTGTGTGCTAATGGCCAATGTAATGCAGTGGCATCACAAGACGGTGTACGTAGGGCGGTCCGCAACGGGTGACGCCAATTTTAGGGGTGACACCGAATTTAAAAATTGTAAAATATGCCATTAAAATGATGTTTTATCCAGTAACAGTAATAGCTTAGTATTTTGAAACCAAACTGAAATTGCAAACTTGGTGTAGGGTGTTGACACCCTCAGTTACCGCACCGGGTGACACCCGGCCTAGTGACGCCGCTGGTGTTATGTGTGTAAAAATCTCTTTCTGTAGTAATCGCATGCACACATCTCAGCGTCTAGAGTAGAACGAGGCACATTTTTGTCACAAAATCAGTCCACTTTAGCATCAGTCTACTGTATGTCTATCTATATTCCTTTACCATCTTCATGTGCAAGTATACACCCTTAAGATTTGCTGCCCTTTTCATGTTATCGAGTTCATTGACACAAAACGATAAATGTATTTTCGACTCACTTGCACAATATATCTTGACTCCGATTGTTATTTACTCTTGTAAAAAGGAAAAAAGAAAACCACGAACTATGTTGCACAGCAAATGAATGCGTTTGTTGCGTTAAAAAAAGTAAAGAAAACATGGTAGATACAAGTTTTTTTCAGCTGATACTTTTCAACTCATAGACTAATTTCCGGGTGAACATCTATTTTTTTTAAAACAACACTACCATAATGTTGAGGACATCACATTCGCAATAGTCTATGTTTTCATTGAAGTACGCGCTTTGTTTATTAACACGCATTACTCCATTTGTCGGATACTCGCAATGACCAATGTCCACACACTTAGATGTGAGGTGTATATCGGCATCCGTCCATTTTCGTGGGAAATTTGAATCAGCACTCCGCTTATTTGGATATATATATACAATAGTACTCCGACCGGTCACACTGACTTATTTATCAAGTTGTGTCATTGTACCGCCATCATAATGGCTTGTAGACTTATTTATCAAGTTGCGTCAGTGTACTACTGACAACAAAATGGCTTGTAGACTGATTTATACTTAACTACTGACCTGACGTGCAGACGTGTATATACTAACGGTAGACGACCATGCCCGTCACTCCAGGTGGCATGTTGTTCAGGCGCATGTGGATTGGACCAGCGCCCCGAGGGGTGTCCTTCACCCCTCGGGGTGTCCTTGCTGGAGCACGTATGACGGACAGTTGTTGTTCAGGTCTTCAGCTAGGCGGTTGCTTTATTATACTAGCCTGGCGAGCTGATGTGTCTATACTAACGGTAGACGCTCACGCCCGTCACTCAAGGTGCATGACGCTAAGGCGCATGCGGTAATCCAGCACCCGTAGGTGTGTCCTTGATAGAGCTCGTATGACGGACAGTTGTTGCTCTGGTCTTCAGCTAGGCGGTTGCTTTATTATACACGTGTATGGCCTACTTAATTCAACTCGGCGTGTAGGCTTGTTCATAGCTGACCCCCAAATAGGCGTGTGAGGCTTGTCTATATCTGCATCCTAATAGTGCATAAACTTTGGTCTAGCCAGTGCCAATATTCGAACATTTTCTTGTTCGAGAGTACACACGCATACACACACACCACACACACACACCACACTTCACACACACACATACACCACACACCACACACACATTACACTTCACACACACACACACCACTTCACACACACACACCACACACCACACTTCACACACACCACACTTCACACACACACCACACACACCACACACCACACACACCACACTTCACACACACACACCACACTTCACACACACACACCACACACCACACTTCACACACACACCACACACACACACACCACACTTCACACACACATACACCACACACCACACACACATTACACTTCACACACACACACACACATACCACACTTCACACACACACCACACTTCACACACACACCACACACACACACCACACACACACGCATACACACACACACGCATACACACACCACACCACACACACACCACACACACACAGAGATACATACACACTCCTCCTCTTGTCACATTGTCACAACAGTCCTAACACCCCAACAACTTCTGGGAGCGTGACGTCATGAATAGACGACCCGTAGTACAATAATTAATATTTTAAGCGATCGATAAAGTAATCATAATTAAAGGTAAACATAATTAGAGATGATTGAAAAGAGGGAGGGTGAATTATTGTTGAGATAAAGCCATTTAGGGGAGGCTACTCATACATTACACAATTGGTGTTGATCTTATAGTTGCTTACCTTTACTTTGTAAAATATCAGTGTATTGAAGTTATCAGCTGTGGTGGCTGTCATTTTCAGGTGTTCGCTGACGACATTGCCTAGGTCGCTGGTCAAAGCAGACGGCCTGCGGTCAGTTTACGTGGACGGGAACCACATACCTTGCACGTGCGACCTGAGCTGGATCTCCGCCTGGCAGTCTCAGACGGGTCTGATCCCCAACATCATTGGTCGCTGTGACGATGAACCTACCATGACCTTTAACACCTTCGTCACGTCCAGCCTACAACAGTGTGGCCCAAGCAACATCGCTGTTGGATAGGCACCATCCTAATTCTCCCTCCACTTAATTTTATTTTCAGAGATGTATCAATTGTATTCTAATGTTAAATAATAAACAAAAACGGTATTTCTTGTGTTCTTTCCCTTAAATCATGTGAAGTATTACGTTTTAAGTTTATATTTAACTTTCAATTTCGTTCTTTTTTAATTACACTGAATATTTAATGATAAAAATTGAACAGCAGAAGCATTTTGAAACTATAGGTCTACTTATATAAAAACTCAAGAACTAAAACTAAGAAATATTTAAATACAACATGTAAAAAAAAACCACCAATACAAACAAAAAAGACCAAGACAAGTTTTGGATTATTATTTATTACAGGAGCAAAGAAAAAAAAGTTACAAAAGTCTGTTGTCAGTAGTAGAAACCACAAGACAGTCATTGGTTGTTCAGTACACAGTTGAATATGCAAGCCCACACTTGTGTACAAGACATACACACACTTACTGAAGGAATCTCCCAATCAACAAGTGAATGAGAAGAATGAGATAAAAACACGGAGTATCACAGAAGTCAATCATGGGCTTGTGGTTTTTTTTTTAACCTTACTTTGGCAGCTCCCACAAATAATGTCAGACCTTCAAGGGCAGGTGACTTGTACAGCTTTCAAGGGAGGGAACTTAGAGGAATCTACTAATTGTATTGTTTTCTATTTAGACTACAGCTTACATATTTTATTCTACTCAAACACTTAAGAGACCAAACTGTCCTAATTTTAAACTGCTGTATACATTCTAAAAATAATTTGTTGACATGATATGAAAGGGGTCTGGAATATGACAGTAGCCAACCTTTTGGTATTGGAACTTAAATTTTTCACAAAATAAACAGCACTGATGAAAGCTGCCAAAGTAAAACTGTAAATGTTAATAAAATACAAAGTAAAAACAAAAACTGGAACACAGTAGCTTGAGTTGGCTTGAAGGCACATGACTGTTAAATATGTAGAGTTAATAAGCCACAGCTAACCACCAACCCAATGGTGTTTTTGTCAAAGGGAAAAAAGACATTTAGTGCCATGAATTATTGCTCAACTTGCTCAATTAAGGGAAATAACTATGCATGTTAAAAAAGGGAATTAAGCAATGCCATGGCAGTACAAAACCTTTTAATAAAAACCAAAAGCCTTTAACCTGCACATCAAGATAAATAAATTATATACCCTATATGTTATATGTACATAGTAATGAATGATCAACATTCACTTTGTATAAAGGTATTTTCATACAACAAAACAACATGTAAAAATATACACTTTTGAGATAGGCTTGGAGCAAACAAAATTATCAAGGAACGGGTGGGCCAAACACAAAATGGTGTAGGCCAATGCTCTGAGTTTAAAAAAACTGGACCACTGGAATGGTATGGGTGTTTTCTGGCTTAACACTGGTCAGTTGGTGTAGATGGTAAATAACATTCTAAAAAAGTTCTTGTCAACTCCTGGCAATGATGTAGAAGCAGTAGGCTGATGTTAGTCAAAGACAAATGTTACTGATGCTAGTAGCAAATACAACTAGACTAAAAGTCAGGTTTACAATGAGCTCAATCCACAAACACTGTCATTAGTACCCCACACAATTCTACATTAAAAAACTAGTCTAGTCACAATATTATGTAAAAAAAAAAAAAGTCCTAAAGATAAAAGGACATGTCAAATGTCTAGAAATATACACTGCGTCCTAGAACTGGAAACACTAATCACCTGTAATGAACTAAAATGGTACCTTCAGCCATTACACGAGAATAATCTGTTTCCTTACTGACAGTTGTGTTTCTTTCATCTGCCACCCAGATATACGGGACATTTTTCATTTGTCTTCTCATCTACATTAGTAAGAGAAGTTTATCTTTGATGTGTAGATGAGTTTGACCATTTCAACTCTATCTACATTATTTAGATCTGTTTCTCTAGTTAATAAGGACAATATATTGTTGTCATCTAACATTGTTTATATCTGTCATCTAGATAAGTTAGACAATGTGTTTGTTGATGCATTAGTTCCTTGAGTCCCAGCACTGCCATCAGTTATAGGATCTTCAAAAGAAAGAACTTTAAATGGAGGACCTGTGCGTAAAATGGCTTCTACTGCATCCACTCTACCAATTTCTTTGAGTTTGTTGACAAGTTGTCTAATGGTTGCATCAGGGTGTCTTCTTGTCCATTCATTCAGCACCTGAAAGTAGTCATATTACTGCATCAACACAGCTATGGTCTAAAACATATAGTTGTGTACAACTTGGCTGTTGTGTTTGAGTGCAATTTGGCCAGATGTTCTATTTTAGTATAACTTAGCCAGATGTTCTATTTTAGTACAACTTAGCCAGATGTTCTATTTTAGTACAACTTAGCCAGATGTTCTATTTTAGTACAACTTGGTCAGATGTTCTATTTAAGTACAACATGGTCAGATGATGTATTTGAGTACAACTTGGCCAGATGTTCTATTTTAGTACAACTTGGCCAGATGTTCTATTTTAGTACAACGTAGCCAGATGTTCAATATAACCTTTCTCAATAAATAATAAAATATGCTCCTACTTCAAGCCCTTCCCTAAACCCCTTTACCGTGTGTCACGAGTTAACTCGTCATATAAAATCTTGTGCTTAACCGTACATCACGAGTTAACTCGTCTTCAGATAAAAAAGGCGTCTTTGTGCCGTGCGTCCCGAGTTAACTCATCTTGATACGAAAATAGCATTGGAAATCAATAACAATGTAGAGGGAGGCTAATCTAACAGCCAATTCAACAGCGGATGATAAAAATAGGTCATCACGTGATGTGAAAACGAAAGTGGAAAAAAAACAATTACACGGTTAACAAAAAAAAAAAAAAATTTCCACGGTAAAGGGGTTAACTATCATTTTATCATTACAACTACATATGACATAATTGAACCACACAACTCAATAATAGAATTGTGTTATTTCTTTAAAAAAATGTATCTATAACATACCTTCTGTGTCTGGCTGACTTTGTTCCCATCCCCACCTGTAGGCTCCAGTGCAGGTAAAGCATCACTAAGTCCTAAGGTAACAGCTAACAGACACCAGTCTTTGCCCATGGCTTCTGGTGGGTCAAGTAAATAACTTAACAACCTCTGTGTATGAATAGTCAAATGAGAGATAGGTAGGTCCATGCCTAGGGTAACTGTCACTAAAATTTCCTCTGAGCCGAGGCAGACAATGTCGATGAAGTCTTCAGTTTGTTTCCCACCAAGAACAACAGAGGACCTGTTTTCTATCTGCATGCGCAGCAGTTCTGTGGGGGAATAAGAGCGCACAACTTTCCCATGTTCCCTAAGTTGTGACGGGCTCAACGTGTAGCGCTCGATGCACAGACCCGGGCAGACATTCTCTACCACTTGTTCTATGATGTTGACGAAATCCTCCAGGAAATAGTACAAGTTAGCCCTCTCACTCTCAGGGCCCCGCACCTTGATCTCCAGGTACTGCTCGTTCTTGTCCATGTCAATGATCCCCTCCAGCCTGGCACAGCAGTACTTGGAGCCGTGGTGCCACTGGTAGAGGTCTGCATCCTTGTCCACTTTTTCTTTGTCGTCGTCACTGGTGTCGCCGTCGTCCTCATTGTCCTGGTCATCAGCTGAGAGAATGCTGCGTCTCAGACACACCTGTTAAAATTTAACCAATCTAATTAACTCGGTAATTACAGGTAAAAATAATGTTTGATGTCTTTTTTTTTATGTCCATGCTTAATCATCTAATAAAAGCGGTGAAGTTACTATTTTCTTAACTAAAACGAGATTTTATGGTAATAATAAAAGGAGATTTGAAGAAAAGCCGTATCAACCTGTATGCGAGGGAACAAATACTTGAGCTGGGCACCAGACTGAAAGCTTGTGTGAAGTCTAACACCCCCATAGACTGGGTTAGGGAATCTTTTATCATCTCTCAGCCACAGGCCTTCTAAAGCCTCAACAAAGTTCAGACACGGAAACTCATACTCCACCTCATCCTCTAGGTCACATGGTGTGCAGAGTTCTAAGGCTTCCAGCACCTGGCATTTTAAATAGATAGAATAAATACAATGGCTAATCATGTAGTCCAGGGGTCTCCAAACTTTTCAGTCCGAGGGCCGCATTAACTATAAATTTTCAGTTCGGGGGCCAGTTTCTTCCAGGCATGTTTTTGATTTTTCTGGGCAAAGTTCCTCAGCCATAAACAACAAACGTTTTTTTCCGTGGACAAAATGATCTCCGCGGGCCGGATGAGAGGACCTCGCGGGCCGCATCCGGCCCGCGGGCCGTAGTTTGGAGACCCCTGATGTAGTCATTAGAATGTATAAGACAAAACACTAATGATAATGCTTGTTCCAATCTCTCCATCCCCCCAGTGTTGTATCCCTTAAGTACACCCTACCTGAACTAAGCTGAGAGCATCAGTGTTGGGATACATCAGCTGAAACTCATCTAAAGAAAAACACCCAGTCCGTCGTATCTGAGCTATCCTTTCATGAGACAACAAATGACCAAGTACTTCTACACCTAGCCAGCGTGGGTTGATGACCACTAGGTCCGTCTGGCAATGGAGATAAACAATCTGTGGGGGGGGAAAAAAGCATTGCAATGTAAATTTATAAAACTATAAAACACTATCTACAGGGTTTTTAAAAAAAACTCTTTTTACTCTTGAGTCAGGAGTAAAACAGTACTAATCAATGTTAAAAGATAGTTCTATCATGGAGTATAATAGCTCTAGATACAAAATCTAATGATTACCTCCCCCATCAGCTGCAGCTGCCGGTCCAACAACTTGACATCCTCATCACTGGCTAGAGGGTTGATGCAGCCCCGGATCTGTTCAATAAACTGGGGCCAGCTGAGGACTGGGTAGGCTTGAAATGCTCTGCGCCACTCTGGTAGTTGGGCGACCACGGCTGACAGGAAACCATTGCTGCATGGCAAGCGCTGTCAGAGTTACATTACTAGACTTAGTCAAAGTATACATCAAGATTGACCAAGATAAACTGACAGTACAGGGTGAAAGTGTAATCAGCATTCAACTCGTTATACAGTACTGGGTGAAAGGAAAATGCTAGAACTTTTACCTCTGAGATTATTGTCCTAGTTTTAGCCAACTGCAGCTTGAAAGCTCTAAGATCTGGTGAAGATGGTGATGTCGCATCCATGACAAACACAGTTTGGCAAATGTCAAGGTCGTGTTGAAACATGGTTATTGCTTTTTCTAGAATGTACTGAGCATCTTGATTGACATGGAGCCCACTGGATGTCTTATGGCAGGCTGTGCTGGCTTTATCTGCATGTGTGGCTACCAGCACCACTTGAGCTGTGTTCTGTAGCTTGCCACAGTGGTCTGGAACAAAGTGGTACATGTGGCAGGCAATCTTTGTTTAACACTGTGCTGTGTCTTGTCTGGGGGGGTTCAAGCCCATTAACTACTATAAAATTATGTCACTTTTTTTTATCTTTGGGGCTTTGATTTTTCTTTAAATTATTTAAATTATTTCTTTTTTGACATTTTTTGTTTGTTACGCTAGTTTATTCATACTACTATATTAAATACAGTATTCTTACAAGTGATCAATGAACTGACCTAAAATAATTTCCAAACATACCATTATATTATAGACTGGTGTATTTTTCTTTTTGGGATGGGGGCTTGGATTTGTTAAATTTCATCACAAAATTGATTTTATTTTTATTACTGCTTCTTTTCTTGATAATTTGTAACACTTACTCCTGTCAAGTGTCACTTCTATTTTATACATGATATATCAACAAAAAGTGATGAAAGAACTGACCTAAAGGCATCTTTGGGTGTATCCTGGCTTTAATAAAGTTGAGCCAGAAAATGACTTCAGCCATCTGTTCTTCAGGAGAGTCCTCCAGGTTGAAGAGGACCACATGAATGCAGTTGACATCTCCCAGGAAGTAATCATACAGCATGTAGTACGGCTCATAGCCAGAGAAATCCCAAACACTAAACTCACCTGCCCCTGCACAAATATATCATTTTGTTAATGCTGAAAATGTTAAAAGAATACCAAATTTTTAACTAGATAACTGACAGTATTTGAAATGAAGTAGATGGGTTGTGTATATTTTTTTGCCTCCTATTGTCATACATTCATAAAGAACAAAACAGTTTTGTGGTGACTAAATTGGCTTACCTGCAATACTAATGGATTGAACCTCCACACCTTTGGTATAGGTAGGATTCCCAATTGCATAATTAAGTGGGGTGGGCAAGCTAAATTGCCGGGAGAGTTGGGTCTTGGCTGCAAGTTAAGTAAAAAGTTTAGTAAAATTCATTGATAAAAATAAACTGAACAATTATTATTTAAAAAACTAAAGTTACCAAGCTAAAAAAATATGGCACTGAGAAGCAGGTACTGACATTTTTGTTTGATAGAACTGCCATGGCCAGGTGGGTGAAGCCTCCGCCTAAAGAAACTACTCAAATAGCTACACTTGAGTGACTCCACTAGGACAGACTTGCCGACTCCAGTTGAGCCTAACAGCTTCAACTTGATACGGTTGATTGGCTGAGGCAGAGGTTTCAGCTGGTTAATGAATGCCAGTCTTTTTTCCTGAAAAATATTTTTGTTGTAACACAATGTCCATTTGAAGGAAAAAATTCACACAAAGAAAACGTTTCTAAATGAATAGTTCTCCAACTGCCTTTATCTGTTAGTTCCCCATAAGATTACTGCTGTAAAAGCTGTGAGACACTCACCCCTTTAACTGTAGACATGAGCTCAGCAATATTTGAAAAGCCCTGAGCTAAAGCCATGATTTCACCAGTGACACCATCCTGTAAGAAGATGAAAGACAAGAGAGTTAAATCACAGCCTGTTAGGCTGATGATACACTACAATCAAACATGGAACAGAACATGTTAACAATGGTAGGAAGATGGAAACAGTGTCAAGACAATAGAATCACAACCTGTTAGACTGATGATACAGTACAATCAAAGATTAAACAAACCTTGTTAACAATGGTAGAAAGATGGAAACAGTATCAAGACAATAGAATCACAACCTGTTAGACTGATGATACAGTACAACCAAAGATTAAACAAACCTTGTTAACAATGGTAGGGTCAGCACCCACAAGAAGCAGGGACCGAGCAATTTCTATATGACCATGTTTACATGCCAGATGTAAGGCAGTCTGTCCATCCTGGGAGTAAACAAAGTAAATATAATAAATGAGATGACTTCAAACATGTAACAGGTCTAATGTGGTGTTATAGACATTACAAGCATAAACAAAAAAGTGGGAGGCTGCACAATTGGTGCATCAATTCAAATAGATCACACCTTCTAAAAGTAACCACATTAATCCTAACCCTCACTGTTGTGATGAGAACCACATTAATCCCAGGCCTCTAAACTTACTGTAGTGACAAGATCCACATTAATCCCTAAAGAACACATCGTCTGTACAACACTAAGGAGACCTTCCCTGGCAGCACAGTGTAGAGCTGTCTCCCCTGTTTCCTATGGGGAAAAAGAATGTAACAGTATGTTTCTGGTGAGGGTGATGCCAATACACTAAGTCAACAGATTTTAAACTGCTAGCTAACAGCTTACCTTGTCAAAAATATCCATTTTGCAGCCTGCATTAAGAATGAGGAGAGCAATAGCTGTGTTGTGTCTTTGACAGGCCAAGTGGACAGCTGTACAGCCTCGCTGGTGGAGTTAGAAAAATTTTCATTGACTGTATAACCAAATAGCTTGTAACAGGAAATATCATTACTAAATTAAACAATCTACTGAGAGTAGTGTGAGGCACTGTGCAGTAGTGAGGTGATATAAAAGAGCCAGCTTACTTTGTCTGTATGATTGAGAGATGCGCCATGCTCCAACAAAACTCTAACACAATCAACATTTCCTCTGACAGCAGCACAATGGAGGGCAGTTTCTCTATCCTAACATCATAAATACATACATTGGTTAAAGTCATTTATCAGATCAACTTTAATCTAAATCCTATCTTAGCATCAGTAATTGTTTAAATTTTACATAAGAAAATAGTTATATGATATAAAAACAATGCTAAAATTAATTATTATTAATAAAGTTATTAAAACACTAAAATTTGAAACTTATCCTATTATAATAAAAAATACATAACAACATCCAACAAAAGAATGTAGAAAGCTACAGTGCAGGAGTGCCTAATAAAACAACATTAATGTGGGAGAGTGTGTGTGTATGTGTATGTTGGTGCAGTGGGTGTAGTGAGACAAGAGCTGTGTACTAGTCTGGTGAGAGACAACAACATGTACAACAAGGCTAAAACAACAAACTCTGGCGTGGTCCACTGGCAGTGAGTACCTTATTCTGTAGTGAAAGCATGGCTCCATGCTGACACAGAATGCGCACAATCTGAACATAGCCATGCCAAGCAGCACTGTGTAGAGGGGTCTCACCAAGCTGATCAACAAACACACAGGTCAAACTCAGGTTATTTTTTGCCTACATTCATTAGGCACTTACACAAAATTGTTTAGAGATTACATTAATAGGGAAGCAAAATAAAAAGTTAAAATAAAATACAATAAAACACTTTGATTAAAGCAAAGCTATGGATAAGTACAAAAAATGTATTAATTTGAAAATGACACTTTAATTTGGCAATATTTCTCAATTTGTTTTATAGACTGAAAAACTGAGTAGTTAAGATTGACTTGATAATGAAAACATGTTGGATGTCTTCCATAGAAAAATGACCAAAAAGCAATTTACCTTGCTATAAAATACCTAGTTTTCAAATAACAGCCCTACAATTTAAAAAATTTAATCTTACAATTAGCCATTAGATTCTTAAAATAGATCTTCACTTTACCAAAGTAGTGAAATTACAAAAAGAGACAATATTTAGATAAAATGAAATTGAGAAATATTGAACAACAATGATCTCACACTGATAATTTCCATGCACTGATACCAAAGGCAAACACACCAGCTAAGTACTTACATTATCAAAGAGGTTAATGTTGGCATCAACACTACACAAGTACTCCACAGCAGCTGTGTGTCCATACCTAGCTGCTACATGCAGAGCGGTCTCCCCTGACTGAGGAAACATAAACAGTCATCTCAACACATACAACTGTAGTCAAGATTCTGGATTTAAATTAATAATTTAGCTTTTACATTTAGCTATGTAACATTAATAACAGGTTAACAAAAAACAAATATGGCAGTATAAAATGTGTGATGATGATTCATTTAATGAGGAAATAAATAGGCAATCAGGTAAATTACTATACAAATGGAACTATGGAGCAAGAAATGCAACCTATTATGGTATTGAGGTAAAATGACTGCACAAATGGCATAAAATGACAACACAAATGGCACCATAGAACAAACATGCAACCTATGCTGGTATTGAGGTAAAATGACTACACAAATAGCACCATGGAGCAAGAAAATGTACCTTGTTCTGTGTGTTGACGGAAACCCCTGCCTGGACAAGACATTGTATAATTTCTGTATGGCCTTGCCTTGCTGCCCAGTATACTGCACTATCTCCTTGCTAGTGTAGGAAAAAAATCATTTTAATACCAAACACAACCTTTTAGTAATAACACAACCAAAAAAAATGAAAAACACAATTTTCATGAAACACACCAAAACCATCTAAAAGTGCATAGTTTAAAAATGTTTATAAATATGAAAGAATGACTGACCTTATCCAATATAGATATGTCCACCCCTTTGGCTAGCAGAAATTTGATGACATCAACATGTCCACCACTGGCTGCCATATGGACTGCTGTTTCTCCATGCTGTGAAAGTAAATCATAAGAGGACTCAAAGATATGCAACAGTTGCTACACTCATAAGATATGTAGCATAACATTTAACTTGTACAAGTAATCAAGGAGACTGTTTGACATTTTCCCTTCCCATAGGTAGGTTTTAATTTTTTAAGTATGCGTTGAACCCAGTTATTTCCCCTAATGTCCTGAATATATGAACTAGTAACTATGAGTCACTCCAAGAAAATTCAATCCTGAGTACAATAAAAATAATGAAAGTATTAGTCCCTACAGGCCCTGGTAAGTGGTTGACTAATCAGCCGGCAGCTAGTAGATAAGGGCACATTTACCTTGTTGGCTGTGTTAAGGTCAATGTTGGCAGCCATCTCAGACAATTCCTTCAGGCCATCCACATTCCCTTCTTCTGAGGCACAGAAGAGAGCGGCCATGACAAAGTTTTCAGCTTTGTCCTAAAAAAATAATAGCATTTATTTTAATATGTCAACATATCCAGCTCAAAAACATATATCACATCAATTGCATTAGTCAATAAGTCATATCTAAATTATAGTCAAATACCATTATAACATCACAGTCACTTGAAAGCATTATGATGATTGTTCTGTCAAAAAGCTGTACATTAATGTGATATTACATGGATGTTAAAAATACAAAATTGGATTGAGTAGATTGAGAAGAAGTATTTAATTCAAGGTATCAAAAAGAATTCACTAAATAAGCCCACCAGCCAATACTGGTATGAACAAATGGACAAGTAGGGTCACACAAAATGTGACAAATATAGCAAGGACTATTAAAGCTTGTGTTAACAGGCCCATGGTTCTAAGCCTGTACCCTATTGCCACTGTGTTGATGAGTAGTTTGGCAAATATTTCCTGAAGGCAGTTTCTTAACATTAAGAGGTTTGTGTATCAGAATCAACCAAGCATGAAATTCTGGTAAATATCATGCTGATCCGCTACACCTCATTTGACCTAGATAAATAGCTTCGTCTACAAATAAAAGCCATGGGAAAGCTTGCAGCTATTGAAATACAACTTAGGCTGAACTTGTTGATCAAATCATCAGTGATGGATTGTCTGATGTCTGCTGGTCATGGTCTAGTAAAAATATCCCCAACTCTTTTAGCTTACACCTTCCATCCTCCAAATATACATATTAAATGTGAGTGTGATAGACTATGTCCACAGACCAATCTACCAACTTTGCCATGGAGACAGTTCAACCTTTTGCTACTGAGTAATTCTAAAGTAAGTAGGCCTATTCACTGGGTGGTGGATTATAACATGTATACTTTCAATACAGTAACCATTCATTATTTAAAGTAGGTCTGAATGTTGTTTTAATAGACCTAAATCTAAAAACTGATCTTAAGTTTAAGGAAAATCATTTTAGCCTTGTTATCTGTACATAGGCTTTTAGTATAGAATAGCATTTTTTAAATGTATGTATGACATGTAATGTAAAGACATAATTTGTAATAAGTGTATTGCAGATAGGCCCTATAAGTATAAGTACTATACTATTTTTAGGCCTAAAGGATTTCTGTATGGTACTTCCTGTTTTCTGCAAGGGCAACACAGAGTCTTACCCTGTTTAGCTGCTGGTATCACTGTTAGGGTATGGGTATGAATAACAATCTGCACAATTACACCTAATCATAGAATAGCTTGAGGCACTAATCTAGATAATTGGATAATGATATAAAAACTAAAGCATTCACACAAAAGTTTCAAAATAAATCTTGATATATTTACTAATATAGTCACAGAGTAGCCTAATCATGGGTATGTTTATGATTTATGGGGGGGGGGGGGGGGAGAAGCATGCTTTAATTAGATCTAGTTATACAACTGACCTAAAGGAGGCTAATAACATCATTATTATTCATTAACTTGGAGGGTAGTCCTGTAGCCAGTAGTAGACCAACTAATAGATTCTAGTAGATTATGTCTTTTGTTACAGCAAAAAAGTTTTACATCATAACCTGTCCCTTTTGACATATCTAACTAGAAATCTAGCACTAATAGCATAACTTACAAACAACTTGTGCTTTAACTTGTTAAGCCTATGCCTTTAACTTTAACTACTATGTTTTTTATTTATTGTTTACGTTAACTCTTACTACTCGGCTACATACTACATAGTCTATAGGCCTAACAATAATAAAACATTTAATACAGTTTATAGTATTATTTAATATTATACAATATACATACACTCAGTCACGTGAGCATAACGAATTTATGAACTAAAATTAACGTTTTAATATATGTGCCGGGCTTACCTCGGCCAAGTTAAGCACGCTCGTATACATGGTTAATCCAGAGAAATCAAACGAGTAATTCACATGTCAAGTTATCACATGACCACATGTTGACCACTGAAGTCGACCTATCCGTCACCTAGACGTGTTACACTAGACATGGTGTGTTTGATGGCAATAAATGAAACCCTCGGGCCCAGTTGGTTTTCCCCTTATCTGTACTTGTGAGACTTGCATTCCTGAGCTTCGGCGAGGGTTATTTGACACATCTCGTGCTGTGTACCACTAACAGTAGTTCATTCATGCGCAAATTACGTCACTTCATCAGCACAACAAACCCCGCCAAAAGATGGCATAGAAAGCTGCACAAAACAAGAGTAGTTTTTCTATGTCCTAGCACGCTGTGTGTATTTCCTGCAGTGGAGAGGCCCAACTGCGACAACACACCGGCCGCACCTCAAGTATTAGGGGAAACACTTGAGCAGAGGGGCGAGGGAGGTAGAGCCATCATTCAATTCTTCTATAGATCTACCTGTTGGTGACGCGCGGTGTCATGCTAACCACAGGTGACTCAATATCCACGGGATTAAGAAAACGTTGGGGTACTTTACTTGTACAGAAGAAATTAAAGGCCCTACACAAGAGCGTGTCGTCTCGGGGCAAATGTTTGCTAGATGTGTAACACAGCACACATATCCAGCCAGTACTGTGAAGCCATTGTCTCAAACTTTCACACTCAACATTTCAAAGATAACAGCAGCAATAGTTATCTGACGAGTGTAGAAATAGCGTGGCTAGTAGGTGTATGACCAGCCTTGTGCCCATATTACTGTGTGTATACAGTCTGTGACAGCCAGCAGTAAACAATACCTGCAGTCACAACAAACATAAAACCTTATCAGCCTAAGTATCGGGTGACAGTAGCCTACAGTGCTAGTTTGGCTAGAAAAACATTCGTGAGAGGGAGTTTGTTCCCAGCATTAGGCTCTAGCGGGTTCAGACGGTCGCTGGGTTTGTGGATAGGTCAGTGTGGCATGGGACTGACCAGCTCACGACGTGTTTGACACACGTGACGTCTAGCAAGGCGGGGAACTTAGTGAAACCAAGGTGCTTGGTGGTACAGGGAATACTTGGTCAACGTACTGGCTGACAGCACGTAATCTTACAGACAGCACACGACCGTACTAACAGCTGGGGTACAGGCTGTCACAGACAGCTCGACTACTGACCGACAGCACGTAATCTTACAGACAGCACATGACGGTACAGACAGCTGGGGTACAGGCTGTCACAGACAGCTCGACTACTGACCGACAGCACGTAATCTTACAGACAGCACATGACGGTACAGACAGCTGGGGTACAGGCTGTCACAGACAGTTCGAGTACTGACTGACAGCACGTAATCTTACAGACAGCACATGACGGTACAGACAGCTGGGGTACAGGCTGTCACAGACAGTTCGAGTACTGACTGACAGCACGTAATCTTACAGACAGCACATGACCGTACTAACAGCTAGGGTACAGCTCGTGGACTGACAGCTCGAGTACTGACTGACAGTAGGGACAGCTCGTGTCTCTGAAGATATTGCTGACGTACAATGTCTACTTACAGCCGAAGCATATTTTTTATGTGCTTACAGTATTCAACAGTTATGTATTTTATTACTCCGCGTAGAACAACTACCTTAAAGACACACACACACACACACACACACACATATATATATATATATATATATATATATATATATATATATATATATATATATATATATATATATATATATATATATATATATAACAATGGACGAGAGAAGATGAACAAATTAAATCTAATAACAAATTTTTATAACAATGTGCACGGAAGTCTGCAAAAAACACAAGACACACAATTAGCGTGGTTGCAGTTTCATATGCATCAGCATAAGGAGCAGGAGTTTTTAAACAGAGATATACATTCCCCACGGGATATTGACGGGGAAGACGAAATGGTTCCCATAAATGTCAAAATCTATATCAATTGTCTAACAAACAGAACATTCTAACATTAAAAACTTGTCTTCGGAAACACAATGTAGATTCTAAAAGCATAGCAATCAATCCATGAAAGCTACGACCCATTAGGTTTATCTTAGAAATTATAAATAGTTTGGGTGTTTATTATATGTATAAGATCGGGAAGTGGGGGGGGGTGGCAAAATGGTTTTACGAGGGACAAAAAGTCGCAACCGTTGGGTTTTAGTCTGTCTATAAGTATAAATACCAATACCTAGATGTCACTTGTTGTGCTTTATTCTGCCTATAAATACCAATATCTTTATGTCATTTATTGGGCTTAATTCTGCCTATAAATACCAAATTCAGGATATCAAAATCTGGAAACCCCTACCCATTTAAGATAAGACACACGACTGTTGAGTACAAATGAAATAATTCTAGGCTAACAGGAAAGGGAAGTGTATCAAAAGGTAAACAATCTCGACAGTCATGTCATGTTTAGTTGAGGGTAGAAGAGCCTCAGTACCACACCACACAGATCGTCAATAAGGAACTTAGGGGAGATAACCAATTAAATTCTATTTGCAGTTGATTGTAAATGTTGTCCCTTTACACTTTAACCCATATTTTCATAAATACATGTATTTATTACCCACATGATATAATGCGGTTTATTTCGAACGAGACTAGCACAATTTAACAATCCTTGGATTGAGTTTTTGCAATTTCTCCGTGTTGTAAAGATAAGCTATCCCATTTTACATGCGTTAAGTGACGAACCCAGCATCACGTGAACACTCCTACTTAATGGGGGCAGCAAGTTAAAAGCAACCTTTAATGAATCACACACCTAAGAGAGGTTCAGTGTTGTTAATAAGCTAGGATTTACAACTATAAAATGTGGCCCGGTTAAAATTCAGTGTAAATAAAACAAATTTTAAAAAACATTTAAAATAAACGTTTAAATATAATTTAAATAGCAATTAGGAATATAAAAAACTTAAAAATAGTAAGCAAATACATACTTTATTTAAAACCGTGTTTTAAGACGTTTTTCGGGTGTGAAAAGATATGACCACAACACCACAGACAGACAGGCAGACAGACATTGTGACCTAAGTAAAAACTTTAAAAAAAAATATCAGCCATCAATTAAACTAAACTCTATAATAATAAACCCCCCATTCGAACACCAGGTGCGCCATTTCTCACCCTCTAAGTGGCCATTTATGTTGCTCAAGTACTAGGTAATTCAATACTTTAATCCATATATTCGATACAAGCAACGAATAGTAATGCAGGAAAGGGGGGGGGGGTGTGTTTAAAATCTACGTGTAGGTTAATGTAGACTACTAGTACTACTATTCCACTCAAAACAGTTTGTTGATAGTGCCATTGGTCAAATTACAGAATAACATTAAAACTAGTTTGTTACATTGTCAGTGGTCAGATAACATTGTACATTCACGTTCTCAGATGGTTTAGTTAGCCTATAACTGGGCTGTAGCGTACCGCCTCACCACGCCTCTCGTGTTTGATGAAACATGTTTTAAATGGCCAGCGCTCAAAATGTAAACATGCGGAGTCTTGATGGACGAAACAGCACACGAAGCTATGGCCTGAATAACATAGCACACGATTTTACAAAGACAATGTTAATAGCAGCAGCACACATTTCTGCAACGATATTAATAACAACACAAGATTCTACCACGATATTGATAACAACACAAGATTCTACAACAATATTGATAACAGCACAAGATTCTATAACGATATTGATAACAACACAAGATTCTACAACAATATTGATAACAGCACAAGATTCTACAACAATATTGATAACAACACAAGATTCTACAACAATATTGATAACAGCACAAGATTCTATAACGATATTGATAACAACACAAGATTCTACAACAATATTGATAACAGCACAAGATTCTATAACGATATTGATAACAACACAAGATTCTACAACATTAATAACAGCACACGATTCTACAACAATATTGATAACAGCACAAGATTCTATAACGATATTGATAACAACACAAGATTCTACAACAATATTGATAACAGCACAAGATTCTATAACGATATTGATAACAACACAAGATTCTACAACATTAATAACAGCACACGATTCTACAACAATATTGATAACAGCACACGATTCTACAACGATATTGATAACAACACAAGATTCTACAACATTAATAACAGCACACGATTCTACAACGATATTAAAACAGCACAAGATCCTAACACTAATAACAGCACATGATTCTACAACGATATTGATAATAGCACATTATTTTGCCGCCAACGCAATAACAGCTCACGATTTTGAAACCAAATTTATTACTTAACACTATTCTACCCCAAAATAATAGCATAACACCACAACAATCAAATTACAGATCACAGCTGATTATACGTTAATTAAAGCGCACAGGAAATACTTCAACATAAATAAGTTTGCAAACGTGGAACTGCTAATAGAAATAAGACAAACATATCGATCTAAATCAGATTACTTTTCTACCTACTCTAACCTAGATTTAACTTGGGTAGGCAATATCAAACAGTACTCGTCGTTTTTTTTTGGGTTTACAACGATGCAATCGTTCCATCTACTGTATATTATAAATATTTTTGTTACGTTTATATAAAAATATAATGAGTAAAATTATTTCAGCCGAATGGAACAGCAGTTAATTTTATCCAGCCTAGCAATTTAACCGAATTTATATAAATGATAAAATGGCAGTATTCAAACGTTTGGCCACTTGCTAAATGCTCACTTAGCTCTGATCACAGGCTTGTATTTTATTGATTTCCTTTAGTGCGTGTGTTTTTCAAAATAACCTGTAGGGTGGCTTTGGCAAACAACAAAGTGAACCATGGGCCACAGGCAGTAGAAAAAACGCGTACTATACCAACTGAAGGGCTAGTCTTATGGCCACTCACTCCTCGAAATATGCTTATTGGTCAGAGTAGATTGTTCAAGCTCTCAAGATATGATATTTAAAAAAAAACAATAAACAGGAAAGTTACCTGAAATATGGTTGAAAGTGTCAGTTCGGACGATGCTGATTTGGCCAGGTGTGACCTGCTAACAAGCGTAGAGTCTGTGGACCTTGTAACAATCGGCGAGTCAATGGACCGGCTGAGAGCGGACAAAAAACCACCGGAATGGAAAAGTTTGGTTTTGTACAAAGGCACATGCTGTTGTAGGAGATCTCCGGAATGGAACAGCCTGTCTTTGATACGACTGACGGACGTGTAGCTGGTGTCTAGCTGATGGTCGGATATGATGGAGCCATCGGACTGATGGACCCTAGCCCGCAGTTTTCTGGGTGTATCCAGGCGGGAGCTCACAGAGAGCCGATCCTTCTTCATGTTGCTGCCGACTCCCAGCCGCCAGAAGTGGAGTTGCTCAAAGTCGATGTGCTATGGTAAACAGCGGCCGTCTTACGCGGCATCACATCAAATGCTCCCATCTGCATCCAAATGATCTTTGATCACAAGATCAGACAAATACTGCCGTTTACACATACCTCTATTTGCTGGTGACTCTAGTATCTAGTCCTGCGGTGTGTGGCACATATTTACTATCCGACTGTACGCCTTTTCTTCATTTGACTCGACAAAATATCCGTGTTTTTAATAGACGACAGCACCACAGAATCGAAAGAAGCGTCAGGGTGCTAAATAAGATAAGTGATGTGTGAGAACTGCAATCCTTGATCACACACAACAGACAGGTGGCTGCACCCACTGTGATGTTCGTCCACACAGTCACACAACACTATATGGTGTGTACTGGCTTACAGTGGGGGATCGATATATGTTATATGTAGTATAGTATGGTGTGTCGTCGATACTGTCAGCAGTCTATATTCACGTGGACATTTCTCACCATACCTAACACGGCCTCCTATACGATCCGTGAGGAACACACAATCAAGTAATCCCAACAGGAAAGTGAACACTCAAGTTTCAATCATTCGGGCATGAAAGCTGTCGTGTCAGCACACGAAGCACATTTGCATATACCTGTCTATATGTGTCTTAACTACACAACACACAACTAGGTAAAAAAAAAAACCACGTGCGGGAGGTACCTTCATCAATCCAGGTACTTATATAAGCAGGTAGATGGACAGTCGAGGTAGTTTATAGCCTCAACACCAGCGGGCGTGAACCCAACAAGCCGTAACATCGATTATGTAAATAGCTACACACCATCTGTTTCAGGTGGATAAAAAATATATCACATGACTGCACAGATCTAAGCGGGAACTCTGAAGAACCAGACCAAGTCCTACGTGTGTGTCATAGAACGGTTCAATCGCTTCTCTATAGTCGGAAGACTTGAGAGATACGTGCAGCGCCCGGCCACCTTCACAAACAGGCTTTGTTCCTTCACTAGCAGGCCTGGGTCTAGTCTTTCAAGCGGTGGCTACAGAGGATTTCTATACAACACCGAGTCTAAGGATATACCGTGGGCTTTGCATGAGTTGCTATATTTAAATGTACAGTGGAATTATGCAATATTATAGCCGACTTCTTCATTAGTGTGGGCTTTATGACCACCAGGCTAATACGAAAAACTTGTGCGCATGGGGCATTTTTTTAAGATTATTTCTCATTTAAAACTATTTACTTCCTCAAAGAGTGACAAGCTTGGGTAATGCAACTTACAATGACAACTAAAACAGGAATAATGCACCAAGATAACACTACATTGTATTTAACTTTCAGGGAACTGGGTTTTCGACGACAAATATAGCTGACTATAAAAACCTAAAGTTAAAACTTAAGCTGAACTCTGAAGTCTTTTTTTCTCTCTCGTTCGTAATTAAATTTATTCAATCGTTTGAAGTGTTAAGTTAGCCTGCATAGTTTTTTTCGCCCACGTTCGCGAAAGCCCTAAATCTTTAGCTAAAAAAAATGTTTCAAAATGCCTCCTTCCTTTAGAGAAAAAAAGTAATGATTTGTTTATGTTTCTCATGTGTTAATAGGTCAACATCACAAGGTTAACAAACCCATTCGTAAGCCTTAACTTAAAGGTCGATTAAGTGCAAAAAATAAAAGTTGTATTGTAGAATTTGGTCAGCAAGAAATCTAAAACATAGAAGAGCAATAAAGTAGTGGTCTAAGATGACTGAGTGTACCCTACACTTGAGTAGTTTCTGGTCAGCAGAGCTACAGAAACGTTTCATGTAACGGTCATGGAGCCAGTACTAATGGTAAAGTAAACACTACTTGTGATATGAAAGAAAAGTCTTGACGTCAAAGATACGACAGCCACACGGTTCCTGCAGTAATTTGTCACGTACACAACAGTCACATGATACCCGCACCTGCGGTACTAACGAGTTACTAAGACAAGCTACAGACTAGGGCTAACAGTGGGGACGATAAAGTAGTGCTACAACAGATTGTTACTGGGATTCAACTACTAACTGTTACCTGTTTTAATACTTTCGAACAAAGATTGTCATTAAGGACAAAGAGTCGGGTACCAGGACTAACTAGATCTACATGCTAAGTACGAGAAATGCGCACTAAGACTAACTGGGTGAGGTGTGGGGTTGCCGCGTATGCTATCTGGATCAACAGATGAGTACTGAAAAAAGTACAGTCGTTGGGTACCATGGCAAACTAGGTCATCAGCTGGGCACCGTGAGCAACTTGGTCAACAGCTTGGCACTACAACTAACTAGGTCAACAGCTGGGCACTGTGAACAACTAGGTCAATAGCTGGACATCATGAACAAATAGGTCAACAGCTGGGCATTACAATTAACTAGGTCAACAGCTGGGCACCGTGACCAACTAGGTCAACAGCTGGACATCATGACAAAATTCGACAGTTGGGCACACAAAAATAACTAGGTCAACAGATGGGCACCAAAATTAACTAGGTCAACAGCTGAACATCATGACAAAATTCGACAGTTGGGCACCAAAACTAACTAGGTCAACAGTTGGGCACCAAAACTAACTAGGTCAACAGATGGGCACCAAAACTAACTAGGTCAACAGCTGGGCATCATGACAAAATTCGACAGTTGGGCACCAAAACTAACTAGGTCAACAGCTGGGCACCAAAACTAACTAGGTCAACAGCTGGGCGCCAAAACTAATAGGTCAATAGCTGAGCACCGTGACTAGCTAGATCTAAAGCTGCATATCAGGATGAAAAAGACGAAGAGCTAGAGAGAAGGACGAAATGCTTGTTATAATGATTATTAGCCTAAAGCAATTATTATTGACTTAATACTAGGGCTACTATTAACACTGTGAGGATTATTAAATACTGTTGACTATAAACCTGTTGCTAGTTATTGCCCTTCAATAAGCTGCGTCAACAGCTGTGAACTATCCTATGACTGTTGACTTAGAACTAAGATTAACAGCTAAAACCTCGGACCACAGAGGGTAGTGACTAATTTTCGTTTTAAAAGGCTAACATCAACAGCTTGCAATCAGTAGTAATGATAAGGATCGTATGATCGGGCGAGGGAGCGTATGATTGCTTGCCCCAAAAGTGCCGATGTGCAAATTGTTAGTGAGTGGACATAGACTATGGAAGCAAATCCAGAAAGAAAAGCAGGCTGAAGTCGGTGTCAAAGAGCCTTATGGTGCATAGCATGTTAACACGTAATACTCAGTGCATTGGGTGGAGTTCCCATACAAAATTACAACAAAGCACGAAGAAGAAACTAGTAATACGATTAGTTTGGTACTAGAAGCTTTGTATAATAGATGGGTACTAGAACACTCCAATTAGAAATAGCATTTACTGACGTTATGGTGATACAGTTATGACTACCGGCTAAAGCTAAATCTATGAGTTTTGGACTTTCGACCATTATTTAACAACAGACTGTCGCAAATAATAGTAAAATACGCTATTGCGCAATCTTCATTAGAATATGTCCACATGTAACTAATGTAAAGATTGTAAACACAAAACATAAAATAGTTGTTATGGTTATTGATCACGATAAAACCACGGGATGGGTACCGTTATTACAACTGTCTCACAAGCTTCCCAGTGGTCAGGGAGCGACAAGATAACATAACCCGGCTATCCTCGCACACAGAAAACAATAAGAATAATAAAATATCCAATACGGCATTGATTGCTAAATGAAAATAGTGTCCACAGTCCCACACAGCACGTTTCGTCTGTTTCGTTTGTACAAGATTGGGCTTCATGCCAAAACAAGCTGGGTTTTTTTCACCTGGAATTTCATTGATTAAAAGATTACACGAGTTGACACCTCTATTGAAATTAGCTTGCTTCAAGACAAGGCCAAGAATGTATTTCCTAAACAGATCGATAAAGTAAAGTAGACCGGCATAAAACGTAGGTAAAATACCTGGAATGATTGTGATTTAGCGAGGAGGTGGGAGCAAGACATTAAACAAGAACAACAACAAACAAGAGAGCTAGTTGTAAATCTGACGTGAGATTTAAAGGGACAGGTCATTACAAAGTAAATATCTGTACAACACATGTGAGGAAATATCAGGGGGTGTGACATTTGTAAAGGTTGTAGAGGTTCTATAAAACTGTCAAAAGTTGGTTACACTCCCCAACAATCGGCAAGCTATGTAGACTTAGCCACACTTATGAGGTTACTCGGTCATTATGGTTAACTTAAAATGTAATCAATGACTGCTTGATTATTTTTATCTGTTTTTTTGTTTAAATTCGGCCACCTTATGATTTACTATTAAAAGTCTGGCCATATAACGGTGAGCACTTATGAAGTATGAAGTGTGGCCACTTTAGGTACCCATAAAAAGTGTTGGCCATTTTAGAAACCATAAAAAGTTGGACCACTAGAAGTGTGCCCATCTATGTCAAGGCTTTAGAAGTTTCATCAGCAGATAAAAATCTTCAGCCATGTTCCACGGGTAATTTTAAATTAAAAAAGGAAAAAATATTCTACTAAGCAGTGTGTTATTGACAAATGAGGTAATGAAACCAACTTGACTCTACTAATTGGCTAAATTAAAGATGTGTGCATCAATCATTGGCTTCTGTCATCACATCATGTAAACATGTTTTCTACTGTCAGACTAGTTATTGTAACGTTATGATTTGAAAACTGGCTATGGTCAGGCTAGTTATTGTAATGTCATGATTTGAAACCTGTTAGGCTCCTGTGGTCAGGCTAGCTATTGTAATGTCATGATTTGAGACCTGTCTTTGGTCAGGCTAGTTATTGTAATGTCATGATTTGAGACCTGTCTTTGGTCAGGCTAGTTATTGTAATGTCATGATTTGAGACCTGTCTATGGTCAGGCTAGTTATTGTAACGTCATGATTTGAAACCTTTGATCAGGCTGGCTATTGTAATTTCAAGTATTAAAATCAAACAGCCACTTGTTTTATTTCTATATTACAGGCACCAAATTACTCAAGCTACATAAAGCACCTGCTTGATTAGACTTTTAAACAACTCAGTAATCTTTTAACATGAGGCATTCAAATAAGTAAGTGACAAGATGTAACCAAAATCTAGTGTCTGCTAGAACAATTTTCCACTTTAGTACTCACATATTAAATTTTTAAACAATGTCTAACTTAAGAAATTCATTAAATTACTACATACTAAGTAAAAAATACTAAGAGCACAATGTTACATAATTGAGCCACACGAAAAATTTGAAACAAAAATCATTACCGTATTGGGAACTAGTGACCATGATGTAAAGTAGATGTGTACACTACAATTTCACACCTGCTGTTTGTAAAATTATGATTCATAGAAGTTGTGTTGCAATAGCTGATTTGTTGAGTGGGGACTAGTTTAAGGACTTGTTAATGAGTTAATCCAGAGCTAAGTATAATCTTTAGTTTAGCTTACTTATGAGGTTAAGTTAGTTACATTACACAGAATATCAAAAATGTGTGTGAAGACATTTATTTCGTCTGTTTTGAGTTTTTCCGTGGAGATTTTCAAAGGTCTTCCACTTTTAGAAATAAGGTAGGTAAGTCAGTTATACTGCTAAGGTTGTTGCTCCTTGAGGAGTAATTTCCCTTGCTAGCAGTTCTACCAATGCACCGTGGAGCTAGAGCCGCATTCTATTTTTGTAGTACAGTTGGAGCATGTCAAAGTCAAAGGTATAATTTTTTTTTTCATTTTCAATAAGGTGCCTTCTCCCCATAACCACCAATTTAAATCAAAATTCAGATTTGAATGTCTAGTTTCTTTGTTCCAGAATTGTGAATAGTTAAAAAAAATTATCCCTAATTTCATAAAAATTGTAATCAGAATTGTGAAGTGGTAAATAAATCACATCATGTTATATCTCCTTTTGTTGTAAACAAAAATTATGCTTGATCACCAAACTGCAGATTTCTAGTTTAGCTGTCCTATGATTGGTCTATCAAGGGAACATTAAAATACTGTTCATAGAAATTTAATTAACATGTAATCTAATTCAAAATTCTGTTGTATTGTGTTGCTATACAGTCATCTTCCTCAATTTACTGAAAGTACTCTGATACTTCACTGTATGTTGTACACTTTTTAGTAAAATGTAAAAATAAACAAGGATCATCTTTATTACTGTTTATTCTTTATATACATATATACAGATAGTTTTGTGATAATGAAGTTAGTTTTAAGCAGATAATTAGTTTATGCAAATGAAACACACACAAAATATTTTTAAATTAAAACCTTTTATCTGCAGGTATAAAGAGCCTCAGCCTGATTACCTATGACAAAGGCTTACATCCCTCCTGCTCCACACAGCTGTGGTCCAGGTAATGATGAGCATCACAGAGTCAACCACTGTATACTGGGTCAAGTTTTCACATGCTCAACAGAACTGTTGCTTACAGTTGTATCACCATCAGCTGGTAACAACTCCTGGCCAACTGTGCTGCTGTGTGTATTACCATCTGTCTCCATATGACCAAGTGTGTTGTTGGTTGTATCACCATCAGCTGGTAAATTCTCTGTATGACCAAGTGTGTTGTTGGTTGTATCACCATCATTGGTTAAAGTCTCCATATGACCAAGTGTGTTTCTAGTTGTACCACCATCATTGGTTAAAGTCTCCATATGACCAAGTGTGTTGGTAGTTGTACCACCATCAGCTGGTAAATTCTCTGTATGACCAAGTGTGGTGTTGGTTGTACCACCATATTTCTCCATATAACAATGTGAATCAGCAAATGAATAAACTTTGTTAGTGTCAATGTTTAAATTAGAATTCATCTGGTCTGCATGTCCAGCAGCAGCCTCAATGGTCAAGAATTCTAATTTCTGTGCTGCCATCTGACTAACATCCACTTGTGAGAGAACAAGATTTGAATGAGAAGAACATCCCGGACCATTAGAAATAGCCACATCATCTCCAGGTAAAGACAGAGGTGAAGAAGGTACAGGAACACCTGTTGCATTTTTCATCTCTACATTTTCTTGAACAGCACCTAGTTTATTTTTCTATCAGAAAATAAAATAAAAGCTTCAATAAGAACACCTCAAAGAATTATGTTAGAATCAAACTATATCTATGAGAGCTGCATTGAAACACACAAATTATAAAACTGCTACATTAAATGGTTATCAAAAATATTCAGAGTGATATATCAACAAATTATGTTTAGTCATAATTAAAAAGAAAACATATTAGCTTAGTTTTAAGAAAGAGGATCTGCTCTGATAGTTTTGGTAGTAAGCAATAAAAGCTGTCAACTAGTTCGAATAGATCAAACATGAAAAAAAAAAAATCTAAACAAAAGAAGGTTGTTTTTTTAAGGTTTTTAATCAGTGTTTATATACTTGAATTGTAAGTCTATTCAGCTAATCGCTACATAAGTGACAAGCAAATGTGTGGATTAAACAAAGAGAAAAATAGTTTTGTTTTGTTGCTCTTTACTCTTCTGTTTTAATGGTTTAATCAAGCAAGCCATGCTAGGGAGATTTGTATTAGGGCAATCAAAGTTAGATTTTATTTATCACAAAGCAACCAAAGATTATATTTCATCATTAGGCAATCTCTGATGAGATGAATTGTTAGATGTGCTTTAATTAAAGACTAGCTTAGTTAGTTGCAAACATGAACTTACCATGGGAGAGCATCCAGCCCACAACTTGTACATGAAGACCAAGAGGACAAAACGGAGGCGGAATACGGGTAGAGACAGGCTAAAGTTACATTACAGTCAGCATTAACACGTGAAACCAATTGAACAACCCATGAGCTTTAGAGTGCAAGTTTTAAATATGGATGGTCAACAAGCAAATGAATCAATTATGATAAAATAGTTGAATGTGATTAGTTAGATTAGAAATATTTCAGCGAACCATCATTAGGCAATTTAATTGAGAAAAAAGTTAGAAGTTGATGTAAGGTGAAAAAAATGAACCCAGATGTAGTTTGCATTGATAATTTATGTTTGACTTGTCCATACAGCTCCTTAAAAGATAAATGGATGAGTACTTCATTTTTGTTTCCAGTTAATACTTTAAATAAAAAAAAGCTTTGCTGTAGTGTTGAATTTGTAACTCTAAAACTTTAAAAAAATAGTATGTTGACGTCTAATTATATTAGCTCTATAAGTTTACAATTTGTGAATACTTTAAATGTAGGAATTCTTTTGAAAGTACTTTCATTAATTTGCTACAATTCTTAATGAATTAACAAATTTGTTATTTGTAAGAGAAGCAATAAGTCTGTCAAAATTTAAAAGTAATAATGTTATTATGTAAGCCAAATATTTCAGGCATTTAAAAAGTGAACAACTTGTAATTACTCTATTGAATAAAAATTTTTAACATATGCCAAGTATAATTACAGTTACTGAACAAAACTGTGTTTTGTCTTTCACATTCTTTCACCAAACAATTTTTATATGATTAGGGTTCAGTGTTGCTAACCAATACAGCGTTAGGAGATAACTCTCTAGAGATACTGCTGGAGCTAAAGAGTTATCCTACATCAAATTGTTTCAGTTGTGAAGCCCCAAATCTACTTAAACCAATGATCTTAGACAATATTATTATAGAACTTTTCATGCACTTGTGCATATAATGTAATGATCAGATAAGATGTATGTGATTACACATATACACTTGATTTACATACATCATTTCCATATATATACAGATATATAGACATAAAAGGATTGACAGGCAATATGACTGCTAT